TTTATAATTTGCATTTATCGCAACGAACTCTTTGTACCTTTGGCGAAATACACACAATATAGCATGTCAACGTATGAAAGGCAATCATGAAACGTAGATCCGTCTTTGTACAAGCACGAGACAAAGATCTTTGTTGAAATTATGAAACATAATGCCACAAGGAATACAAAGAATTTTTATTGCAAAAAGAATGATTCGAACGAAAATCTGCTATTCAAAGAATGAAACGTCCACCCAAATTCTTCTCTCGTGAGAAAGCATCTCTTTATGATGTCTTAATTTCCCAAATATGTATGTATAAAATACCAATCAAGAGGGGGTCGGAAATCAAAGTATTTGGGCTGGTGAAACACACAATTATAAAGATGTACATACTATAATAGGTGTGCTTCAATATCGCTAAATATTGTCTTTTTAAATCGCTTCAAATATTGTTCGCTACATGCGTAATTACTGAAAATTGGATGATATATCTTAATTTACAACCAGCATTCACTATATCATTGCGTGGCAACTAATTTAGATCAGTGCTAGAGGCAATTTTGCCAAAGATGTCAATTATCTTTTGTGTCGTAGCCACAAAGCGTGGCATTAATACTTGCTCGATAGCAAATCAAGATGTTATCTAATGCTTCGTTCCCTCCTACGTGCATGTGATTTTCTCTATAGTAGGTGCATTTCCAAAAAAAAACATCTTAAAATTATTTCTCAATTGAAAAATATGGGAAAAAACCCAGCAAAGCATACAAAAATCATGTGTTTTTGTTGTATTGGCCAATGAGGGAGGATTGTGATACAACGACCAATATCATTCTCTGTTTCGAAACTTCCTTTTGTACTTTGAATCCTCGTGCTTGCCAATGATTTTTGCCTAATTCGATGATATTTCTTCAGCTTTTTAAGAGTCCAAATCCGTCGTAAACACATCGCTTTTCAAGGAGTAATTAAAAATCGTAAAGGGGTTATTGAATCGATAAGTATGCAATGGCGTGTACACAAATTTACCAAAACAAATGTCAAGATATCTCTTTGTTGATTTTCGTAATATTTGAATGAATTGTAAAGTGTCCAAAGAGGAATGGCTTCTCGCGAACCACTCCTTGTAGAAGAAGCTTTCATTTTAAGAAAGAAATGCATCATCTAATCTTGCCAAGTACATTAGAGATAAAACTTCCAATATACTTGTATGAACAAAGACGCTTCGATTTAGTAATGTACGCCTCCTTATATGGAGCAAGCCAATATTGTTCTCGAAGCTTTCTCTGTGTGAAAATATTGAACATGGCAGATAGGAAATACATAATCATATAATTCGCTCATTTATCTGTCGGAGATTAACGACCGTATAGAAAATAAGCGCTGGGATACACACATCATCAAATACATCTTTACATTGCAATATAGAAAACCAACATAAATAGGTTAGCCATTTGAATGCATTCAGCGGAAGATCATGCTTAAGAATACAAGATAACAACTTTGAAAGCGTGAAAATCACTTCAATGAAATTCAAGTACCAAAAACCCTAACGGTATTATAGGAACTTCTGGGAAAGCACTTATATACATGGGGTTTTGACCAGAGAAATCGCGCAGTTATTCACAGAAATGCTTGCTTCAGGAATTGCTGCGCTGCGCAAAACTCTATCTAGCGATGATAATGCAGGAAATGCTGTATAATTCAGTTTTGTAGGTATTCGAATTCTTGTTTTAAGTATATTGCAACGGCATATTCGAAAACTGTCCGAATCTCACGCAAGTGGTTTTGTATGTGTCGATAGATAAGGAATATGAGATAATGGGATGTTATGAGAGCCAAACTCCGCCCCCCATTACTTGGACAAACAACGAACAATTTGGTTGGCAGGCGTATATAATATGCATGCGCAAATCATACACAAAACAGCAGAAGAGTCAGTGTTAAATATACGGCAAGCTATTGCTTCTTCCTGCTTGAAAGGTAGTAAATACAACGGTTATATTTACCCCTTTTTGTTTAAGCCTCCCAGATGCCTTGGATGAAACTTTATCGTTCACATCTAAAATGCGAAGCGCCGCGATTTTTTATTCATGAGCGATTCATATTCGCTGCATCTGTGCATTTCAACATTCCGTTTGTGTAAGTATACCTCCCCTATCGCATCATTATCTCGGTTTATCAAGAAAAGATAAATATATTTTAATGGTCCTGCCCATCTCAAGGATTCCAGTAGCATGCAAAAGATAAGAGGATTTTGTAATAGCTTTTTCAAAAACTGCTTGAAATGCTTGGGCTTCTTTGAATGGAACAACACAATGCAACGCAGTTTAAGTTATTCACTGCTTATTTAAAGACACTTAAAATACTTAAGACTTCCCTTCATTTGCGAGAACTGTTTGACGCGTGGCTCTAACATATTGCAAGGGTTTGATAAGAAGCGTTGTATATCAGCACACAGTATGTTTGTTGAGTGCAAGTCCGCCTCTCCGCATATATATTTTATGAATATCGACAAATGGATTGATGCACTGAGACAGCGATTAACCAAAAATAACATAAATATATATGCTGGAAATTTGATTCAGAAGTTTGATATAGTTAATTATACGTGCTTCTACGACGTCGAATAACATGCTATATAGCAATATGATATGGTAAAAATTCAAGTAAGGAATACCATATGTATAATAACTATACATACATATAAACAGCGACCACCTATGAGAATAAATCTAATATGAAAACAAGAAAAATTTCCTTTGAGGGAGGTCCTAAACAAGACGTTTGCAAAAGCACGCTTTTTTATGACCAAATTCATATTTCAACAACTTCGAATAGGCAAACAACAGCAAATTTAATCAACGTTCTTTTTATTTGTGTTATTAAAGGCAGTAATTAGAGTACATCAAAAATCACTTTTTTACAGAGCAATTTAACAAGTATGTTGATCATTTGTTAGAATTATCCACAAATTGTTAGAATTATGCTACAAATAGACAAAACAACTTCCTCAAGGAGAAATGCGAAGTAATCATAACATCAGTGAAGCTGTGAAGCAAACAACTGTTCATTTACCTTGTATAAAATAACTATTAAAGATTTTGTTGTTTTTTTAAAGTATTTCCAAATGTCGTTATATATGATGGAAATACGACAGATATTCACTTTATTGGGATATGTTGCTCTTTAAACGGGACATCTGTAGCAAAATATGCGTCGAAACTACGCTAAAGTTAAAAATTGAATACACACTGCTATATGTAATGTTTGTTTTCTGCCTCTGTATTTTCTTTACCTTTATAAAATACCTGAATAATTTTCTCCCGGGCCTGCGTTATCTCAACAGGACGCAGGGAACACGTGCAAATCGATTTGTGCGAAATGTGTCGCGAAAGACACACTGCAGACACGATTTGGGCCATACCGACAATACGCGGCCAGGCTTGCGGAGCTCACAAAATACACAAAGAGACGTGGAACTATTAAGATAACAAACAAATTTAAGTAAACTTGTGCGCATATGATGTATTCTTCTGTAAACAGTAGGCTACTGATCGTATGCAACTGATCAAATATTTTACTTTCATCATAAAAATGGGTGTAAAGTAGACGCATGAATAATTCGGTTCTAACTATTTTAAAATTTACTTCTGTATTTATTGAGTTGAGACACGTATGTAGGAAGTTATTTTTCTCTTGTCACTTAATTGGCGAACGCTGTCTCAAAGCATGTGTGCTGGTGTGCGGTACTCGGTCAGTCTAAGTATTTCAAAGTACAAGAGCGGTGCCCATTAACTGAATGAGGGTGGAAATAATGAGATTTTGTGTTAACTAAGCAGGCAGCACTTCTCGTCGTCTCGCTTTGTGTCGGCGTGTCTTTCAAGCACCAAACGGCCAGGCCTAATAATTGAAAGTGTATGAGCAGCTTGCTTCTAAGTACGGTAAACAATGAGAACCAATTTTTTCCGAGATAAACCCTCTTGGTTTCATTGCTCTTAATTTAATCTATAAGACTCTTGTTGCAAAAATTCCTCAGAGTACAAACTTGGTTGTGCTTTGCGCACGCTGCACACTTAGAAGTACGAGTGTTATGACCCAAGACGTTCAGCACGCAGGTTGTATTTTTCGACTAGAAAATACGGAACACAATAACTAAAACATTTTGGCAACAAAACACTTCAAATGCTTTATTCGCTTGGCAGTAACATGCACCTGTCCATGCTGGCCGATATAAAGGGCTTTTCATATTTGAATATCGTGAACATACACTTGAATTTTTGGGACAAAGCGGCCTCTACCCTGTGTCTTGGCACCCGGGCACTGGGCAAAATAATGAATAGTTGAATACCCACATTTAGTGGAAACTGCATGTTAATAAAAACATCAAAAGTCGCAATAAGCTCGATTTGTTGTGATGTCATTTCTTATATCAACACTTAATTCCTGTTGAATTTTACCACTCTCGTTTTAATCGCATTTATCTGTCTTGTGTTGAATGCATGTCAGATTATTATTCAAGATGGCGACGTTGTGACTGAGCTGCAGAAAACATGTAACCCTAAGTTAAAAGTCGAGACCTCGTTTGCAAACTAACGAATCGTATGACATTGTGTATATAGCAGCATATTGTTGCTCTGCATTTCAGTGTCTGCGAACAAATGCTTTGAAGTGAAGCATTCATTAAAAAACGTGGAATTTTTTTGCGTTCAGCTATAAACGTGTGCGTAGCGTGAATTCTAGCTAAAATTTATATGCGCAAGGTGACACCTTTATTTATCATGCGAGGTTTTATCTTCAGTAAGTCGTTGTCAATGTCATAAAGGTGCTATAATGGCAAAATAATTGCCGAAGTGAAACATCACTGTAAAACAAAGCGATAGTAAACGACCAGTTTTCTCCCATAAGACATGAGAAATATTGAACAGGTGGTTCGTATACGTCGATAGTATTTACAAGCCGGATGGTTTTAAGTAATTTCGTTTTGGCAAACTGAACACATAACACGAGCAACATGTGAATAACTTGGTGTATGATTTGAGAGTTTCGCATGCATTTGTGTACAAAAGCATTTTGTAATGGTTTGCGTTACCAAAAAAAAAAATTTCCATCAGTCGTATTTTGACCCATAAGTGATAGGTTTACAATGACATGCTTTCCTCCCAAACTTATATTGTACTATCGTCAGGTTAAAAATATAAATGACATCTTAATTTGTGATTCATATAGGTGTTGGACAAAAAGTCTTTGAGCTCAAACGATGTCTGAACGTCATGGATGCGATCCGTGTTTCCTCTTCCATCACATGCATGTCTTTATGCTCGAAACAACGATGGTTTGTACATTTCGCTTTTGTTTTGTGCCATAACGAAGGAACTGTATGTGGGCTGTGTTTTGACACTTCGTGAGCTATGATATTGGCCACGACTTTTCGGAAAGAAAAATTTAAATTTCAAATAGCTATATTGTGTGTATTCTAGCTCGATCTTCACGGCTTGGCGAAACCGTTTCAAACAGATGCTTTATAATCCAGCTTAGCATGTTGCTCCCCGCTCCTTTATTGTTACCTAATAAGCTTCTCTTACCATCTGGGTCAGTCTTCGATTATATATATATATATATACATTTATATATAAATGTATGTATAACTGTATGTTTATATTCATATTATGCATTCACAAGAAAGCAGGGCCTCTACCTGTATTTATTTTCTGAAAAGTGTTGATATAGTCATTTTAAAACAATTAGAAGTCCTTTAGCCATGACCGTAATGGGAATAAAAGTACCTACTTAGCATCATGGTTCCAATGCTAAAGTGAACACAGAAAATTGGTGACCGTTACAGGCACAGTCCAATTCGATAATTTGTTGCAACTGTCAAAGTGTCAGCACATTATTGCGTCAGCCAATCAGCATCGCCGCTCACATGTCAAACTCCTACAAAGGATCCGTCTAATTGTCATTGATTGTCGCTCCCCTGGTGTCGAGGTAGGAAGTTAATGTAAACTCGAGCGCTCGTTTAGTCTGGCCGTAGCCCCGGTGTCGTATGCTATTTCATAACGCGCGCTTGTCCATAGCGTTCAACAGTTTGTAAGAGGAGGAGCAAACGAAGTTCACTAACGTAAATAATCACAATGTTCAACCCAAATATGCCTATTACGCCATTCTCTGTAAAGAATCTACTTGGAATAGAATACATGCCAGCAAGCTATCCAAGCCACGTTAATGGTTGTATACCAACTTCCATACACACGTTCCCAAAGAGCGAAGACACGGTCACAAGTGGCGTTCACTCGCATTCTATACCCGAGCCTAATTTCGGTATGTACGGTGTCGACGCATCTCAGGCGTCCTTCTTAAACGCAAGTCACGATAGTGAGGCAACAGGAAAAGTTTTGGACCCCGACAGAGATCAAGGATCAGGTATACACATCTCATACACTTTTCCATAGATCACTTGTTTTGTGCCATTTGCAAGCGCCGCTTAATTGTACGTGTGTATAAATGTGTCTGTGTGTATATCAGCTATCGCTTGAGGGAACCCATTAAGTTCAAAATGGGGGAGGGCAATTCACACCGAGATTGGAGAGCATTCTGTTGAGGGTTTTTAAGAATTAAGCTAAGATTCATTTGCGTGTAAAAGGAGCTGTGCCTCTTTGGTACAATAGTCAACACTTAGCCAACCTCGTTGGCTTAAGATGTTTCGCTTTCAAATTGAAGTGTGTTTCGTGACTGCTAAAATCTCATGCGAGTTATTTTCGTTATTTCCGCCGTGTTCAACTCACACTCTTTAACCACAGATAAAGGCCTAATCCAACTCCCTGCTGGCATCTTGCAAAGACTAGAGGATAATTTGTACTAAAGTCGCTACCTCTTAAGCTCTCGAAAAGCGTGTAGACTCGAGGACTAAATTACCGCCTCTTGATTTTTTTTCCGAAATTCGATTGTGACCAGACTTGGACGACTATTTAGCTTTGTAAACAGTCGTTGCGGATCTCAAATTCTTTTATCTACCACAAAATCAACACTGACACATCACATTTCAAACATGATGTTCTAGTAGGTCCTCACCGTTCGGTTTACACGTTTGATTTTTCGTAATGAAACTACAGCCATATAGAATTTGCTTGTTTTATGATAGTTTGATGAAATGTTTAGTATAGATTGAAGGAACCACTTCGTGTTGCATATATAGGAATTTGTTTATGCTCATTTTGTTACTTAGCCATGCGATAATGACACAAAGAAATGTCTTCATGACGAATAAAAGAAGTATAAGAATTATAATATTTTCCTTGATGGAAACGGTGTACTCCGCGCAAACCCAGATATTTCGAAATGTTTTGAAATGAAAAATCGTAACTCGAGAGCGGATAAATTTTCAGGTCGCTGCGTAGCTTGCTAAATATTTGAAAACATTGGATAATATTTTAAAACAATCTTCTGTTAAACAGAAAAACAACAGTGTCTTGTATTCTTTGTATTTTATGTACTTAATATTTCGTCCTGGATTATATGGATTGGTTTATTTGGAAAATTGAATTGCCAGATAATTTTTTTTCGCAAATTGTACATCTAACGCGACGATAATCTGCCTATTAGGAAGGCAAATTGCTTCAATTTTTAACGGCTTGCCTAAACTATACATAGGACGAAACACACGTTTCGTTTGGAAATGAAATCTCTTCTGATTCGCCTTGTTAAACTGTTTCATGTCTATTAACGTAGCTCAACTGATAGAAAAGATTATCAATCTTATAAACATCAAGTTTTTTGGGCACTTCTCTTTGGTTTTAAATTGAATACTTACTAACATACACATGTGCTTATTGTCATTGTATTTGCGATGCAGTTTTATGTAATATCAAGCACCGGTTCCTCGGCTTTGTTTGAATTGTATCGCTCTCAAAAGAACAAGCAAATGACGTCCATGTTTTATTCTTTGTAAACGCAGTTTGAGAGCACGGACCCTACTCACATTATAAATATGGTTGGAAAGTGTTACTTCCATAGCTATATGCTAAACTACGAAATACTTGCAACGCTTCTCTTTTTATTCTTATATAACTTGGTGTTTAGATGCGCTTGCAAATAGGGCTGTCCAATAAAGCACTTAAACGAATGAATCCATATAAAATGATAAATTACTTTTGCTGTCTTTGTACTAATTTATAATATGTGTATCACTATTAAACAGCTTCCTAGATTCCTTATAGTCAGAGTAATTGTCAAAGTATTTCATTATACCTAGCTATGTCTTGAGTATATGATGCATGTTTGTAGTCTGCGTTTAACATAAATATGTTAGTATGTAATATGTGAACGGTTAATGTGGAAAGAAAAAAGAGCTCTTTGGTGCAAACTATATTAAATATGTTTTATAGTTTGAATTACGTACATCTTTTCGTATAACACGAGTTTTTTGCTTTTTGTGTTTAGTAACCCCAGGTTCAGATACAAGCCAAGATTCGCCGAGCAAACCGTCTCAAGTAAGCAATGTTAGTACGGCTCAACTCTCGCCAAACGATGTTGCTAATAAGCCAAAAAGAATACGACGAAAGCCAAGAGTTTTATTTTCTCAAGGACAAGTATACGAACTGGAACGGCGTTTTAAGACACAGAAATATCTATCTGCTCCGGAACGCGAGCATTTAGCGCAGGTCTTGAAACTCACGCCAAACCAGGTGAAAATTTGGTTTCAAAATAAGCGGTATAAATGCAAGAAACAGTCATTAGAGAGCAAAAATCGAGCTTTGGATCCGTGGCTGGGTTTCAACGAACCGCGCCGTGTCGCAGTTCCTGTTCTAGTTCGTGATGGAGAATCGTGCCTAGCGGCAAGACCAGATTCTTCGGGTTATCCATTCAATGTCCCCAACATGGGCAACATGAACTCTATGAATATGAACATGAATTTTCCATATGGCTATAGCTATCCACCCTCACAAAATGCCTCGAGTGGTCTTGGTGCAAGATGGTAAGACAGTATATTAGACTGTCATGCAGTGTTAAAAGTATATCTGCCTTGCCGGTCACACCAGCTCATTCTTCAAATGATATAGAAAAGCTGGTTGAATCAGCTTTTGTTCCTGCTAAAATGCATAATAGTAGGACACAAGCTTAGTTTTACATGGATTAGTTCGATCATCATGGACAGAGAAAGAACAGTATACTTGTTGTTTGAAGTGCATTTTCCAGCACAAGAAAGTAAATACGAGAATTAATAAGACTGAATTTGTACGCTTCAAATTTGAATGGGTGGATACTCAATTGTAAATAGAAAGAATTCGATTTCAAAATTTGTAAATAGGATTATTCAAGATGCCAATGGGAGGCGTTGTAGGCAATGCTATTTGAGAGGTGCATTCTCAACCCGGATCTGTTTAGACCATTAAGAAACTACTAAGCTTGTGTTTTGAAAATATAGATTTCAGTTCCATATAGTTTTATTTAACGCGCGTGTCTACATATATTCCAAAAAGTGAATGTTTTATAGTTTGTTGCACGCGACGTAATAATTTATTACCAGAAAAGAAAAGAAATATATATGCATATATATATTTATACTTAATCTGAAGATTTTTAGTAATTTTATTTAAATAATCAGCAGACTTGAATTTCGACACGCCTTCATATACAGTCAAAAGCAAAAGACCATGCCACTGAAGTGATATTCGTTTAGTTAAATCGAATGAAAAATATTGACGCAAATGTTGCAACATTTTCATTACGGTTTCGTTTTATATTTCTTCCTGTGCTGTATTTTCTTTAATTCGTAAAACTCAGCTAGATGTTTGCTTCTGTCAGGCAAAACTGCATTCAAATAAGAATAAGATTACACGTATACTACCTCGTTAATGAAATAGTAGGGCTAACAGATTTTGGGTTGCTCGTCCGACGCCGAATTTTCATATTTCTTGTAGAGATAGACGTCTTATCGAGGTTTGACGGGACTTATAGCAGTGTCCGCAATAGTCGTAATGTACAAAGCCTAAAGAATTTTCTGACGTTCGTAACCTTTTTAGCTTTTTGTTATCTTATCATCGATGAAGAATCTAAATTGAATATCGGTTTCGACTGACTCGCCAGCATGCATATACTCACAAAAGCGATGTTTTGTTTGAAAGGATTTGAAATATCTACAAGACGTGGCGATATACATTTCTTCTTTCTATGTTTGATTGAACTAAATTTTATCATTTTTAGACATTTGTGTTTGTCTGTAAAAACGAAATTATCTCAAGACCTGAATTACAAATTGTAGCCAAGTCTTGTTCTTAGAAAAGAGAAATGTGAATGAATGAGCGCTAAGTCTTTTGCAAAATACATTTGCTCAAGTATAAACAGAGAAATACATATGATATACAAAAATTATACACATATATGTACATTTGCATGACAAAATGCCCACAAGCATGTTAACGTCCCATAAATTGCACTCCACGAGTCATATGTAGCTACATGTGAAATTACATTGATTTATACATAACCAAGTTTTAAAACAAACTTATGGAGACTCGTAGCAAATCAAAAGTACTCAATTTGATCTTTTACTATAATGGCTATATTTTTGTTCATGACTATGTTCATAAGCGAAGTTTCAAATGAGATTCGACTCTTGTTTCAACGACATAAAGGTCGTGAGGTATTAAAGTCCACGTAGTCTTCCTGCTAAACCATTCGGTTTGCACGTCGTCTATAAAAATAATATAAATATGACGTAGTTATGTGAATTCTACTATACACTAGTATACAAAGTGTCTTTGATCTAAAAACATCACACGATTTTGCTTTAGGTAATATGCCGCGCTAATATAAAGAATGAATGTCTAAGTTTTTACGAGTCGTTATTCCCCCCGAAGCTATTGCACAACGTTGCTGGGTGACCCGCGTGGGAGAATCGCATTGCAATATCTCATAATCATAGGGAGGAACTTTGCAGGAAAACCATCAATATCACTAGTGACTGTTGGTTGAATATTTCACGCAAAGAAACAGAAAAATTAATAGCGTAAACCACACCGTGCTAGTTACTGTTTAAAATCCCAGCCCAAGTCCAATCAACTAGCTAAAAGTAACGAAAGTAGTAAAGCTTACTGATGTTTCCAATTATATGAATATGTCTATAGTGCGAGTTTATTTTTAATGGTAGTGTCTGACTTTAATCTAACAATTTATCATGCGTTCTTCTTGTAACGACGCGCATATACTACACCATCGCTATATCCTAGGTATAGGAAATTATTTCTCTTTCAATGTTACTATATATATATATATATATATATATATATATATATATATATGTATTTATACTGGGCAAATTTAGTCGATGGCATACAAAGAAGTAAGAATATCATGTTTTTCTTTAACTTCCACCCATACCTGAATGGAATCATGCACTTTTCAGTAATATATTGTAGTATTAACGGGGACTTTGCAATTTTCTTGAAACCGTTTTTTTGGGACAGTGTTTTAGCTATGTAATATTTCGCCAAGCTTTTGAATTTTTATATACTATTTGAATTGTCGAGTTCATCTATTATTGCACTCTCTTTTGTTAATTTTAAGACTATCAGTCAGTAATTTCAATCGGTTCATTCGCTGTATGTAACGAGATATATTTTGATTTCTGTACGTACACTCAGATAGATAGATATGCAAAAATATTCAAACGTGCAAGATGGCATGTTTTCTTTAAGATGTATTGTATGTATTTCATATGACGAGCTATTCTCTCTCATTCAGAGAACGTCGAAATATTATGCATTTGGTTAGGTTACACGATGTCTCGAATTGAGAAGGAAAAATATAATTTTGAATTACTCTATAACTTGAGATGATCAGCTAGCTTTTATCTGTTGTTTTCGCTTCTCGAATTATCTGAATCGGTTTCATTTTTAATCTGAATTGGTTTTTGAGGTGAAAATGTATGTACTTTTTGGAAAGAATTATTCCCACATATATTCTTCAATATAAATTATGCAGGTGTGATTGCATGTAAAGATGGCAGTAATTATATTTTTCGTGTTTTTAAATGCCATTTTTACAGGTGCTCGCTTGTAATGGTCTCAAATTTTTTCATATACATATTAGATTGTATATTGTGATAAACGAAACTATGCTGTTGATGACAGTGAAAGATGCTTGTATGCTACAATACGTTCCCAGCTGTTCTTAAACGACGTGTCGATCTACATATTCGCCCAGGATCTTTAATGATCTTTATTGTTTAATGATCCATTGTCTTCTTGTCGGATAATTTTGACTGCTTCTCTTTCTTTGCTCTCATGTTTGACTGCAATATACATGCATAAATAGAATTGCAAAGCTACAAGCATGCTGTTTGTGTGTAAATATTTTCCCAAATTAACGGCGTTGTTAATTCATTTACGTTATTTTATGTTTTTATCATTTTATTTATAGATCGAATGTGGGAAGAGCGCACTTAATGGTGAGGAGAAATTGCACCTGTACTCGTTCAGTTGCTTCAGAATAGATTAAGGTGTGTCTCTGTTTCAAAAAGTATATTCCATTATTAGTTAACACTGTAATTCTGTAGAAGAAAGTTGGGGCTATCAATATAGTATGCCATCGTATCTAGAAAGCCGCCTTCAAACACATAAATAAATTTCAGGCGTCATATTTAATTTTATAATGAACGCATTTTTTTTTATTACATGCACGAAGTGTTAAGATGGTAATGAATACTATTCAAAAGAACATTTTGAATTTCGAGTTAATTTTTACGTGTGGCAATTCCTTACGAGTGGCTCAATTCATTAAGTAATTAACGTGTTGGAAATCAGATTGAAAGCCATGCTTGCATACAGGTGATGCTATAACAACTGATCACTTTTTTTTGTTCGCGAATTTATTTCAACAAATATGTTTTGGCAAAGTTGATCTCGTTTACTTTACTATATGAAAAGTAAACGAGATCAACTATAGTTTAAGAGCTTGTGTCATATATAGCCTGTGTTGGTACAGCGAACTGAAATACTGCTGTTACTTTTGAACTCACTTGACGTCATACTTGAAGCTTTCTCAAGCCTTTTATCAGATAGTTGCGCAGTTGCCATCAAACCTTATTGTTTGTTAAGTTGCATGTCTTTATACGAAAATCTAAAATATCGTAATCTAAAGACTTCATTTCGATAGGCATGATCCCAATTATTTTCGTACAACCTATTATTTGTTCACACCCATGACTATAACATAACGTTCAAACTATCCATTCACCTAAATTGTCCTATAGCTGGAAATATTCATGGCAATATTTTTTGTGAATAAAACACCATGCAATAAAAGACAGGTAAACGGGTGTAAAATCATACAATGTACAATATACTGTTATATACAAGTGTTTTTAGCTTAATTGACACATGCCAGAAACAATAATCTATAGCTATAAAGGCAAGTTTAGACGAAGGATTTGAATCGCTCCATCGGTAAAAGAACTTGACGTTGAGTTATGTTCAGATCATGATTTGTTCGCTGGAACATTCATTTGCTTGTACCAAAAAATTCCGGAAATTTAATATTTTCTTTCTAAAACAAATTCAATACTTGCTATAGTTCTATGTCATCTTGATTCAGTTGTAGTTAAACCCAATCTATAGAGGTACATGAAGGTCTGTATATGAGACTGTAAGGCGATGCAAAGATCTGGCTTGCAAATCAGCAATGCTGCAGTAAAGTATGTTTGGTAGATTGCTTTTTTTCCTGTTGGAGAATTGTCAGAGAATTTATTGGCCACATAAATAGTTTAGTTAATTGAATAATAAATTTCTACAAGTGTGGTAAGACACCTACGTGCATGTGTACAGCAGTTACTGTATGTTTAAGCTTCGGATTATACTGACATAGCTTCATTGATACCAAACGCTTTGTATGGTGACGTCATACACGACACAGACATTTATATACCACTTAGTCAAATCAATTAAATTTAGCGAGGAATATCACATTCTCAAAATTATCATATGGTAGAATACACTGGCCCTTGAAAATTACCTGGTTGAGAGTAAAGTCGCAACCGCCATGATGGCAGGTGACATAATACATTAATGTTGATTAATAAGATTGTTGATTTTTTGTCGTACCCTCATAAAATGCAAACTTTTGTATGAGGCAAACGATGTTGATTAGAATAATGGTATATTTTTCTTGATGGTCTATATATGTTTTGTCTATGTTACAATCTTTGATCGTCAATTCATTAACTGACAAACAACACATACAATTTACTAGAAATTTCTACCGGGACTGCATGTCTTATCAGTCAAACGGATTAACCATGTAATTTATATTTTTGGACACTGCATGGACTCGTAAAGAGTAAATTAAAGAAAATATGCTGCATTTTACACGAAGTCATAAAACTAATGTTCCTTGTCGCCTTCGGTGAAAAGCCCTGAAAGTAGTTTTGCCTGTTGTTACACGTTGTTGTGGTGATGTTAATCGTTGCCTAGCCTAGCTCTCGGCACAAAAAATGGCAATAGCAATGCTCCTCGTTTTATTGAACTTTACCACAAACAAGTGGCTACTTAGACAAACTTTCACACATACTTTACGTTGAAATTAAGTGGATGATTTAAAATACGCGCAGAGTTTTCCCCAACGCCAGTTTATGAAGCTGAATCCTTCCGGAACAATCGTGCCAAAGACCCTTCGAACTATCACTTAAAACGGGAACTCAACTCATAGCCCTGAGAGATGTGTTGAAATCACTTTATTGAGAGGTTTCTAGATTTATTATTAGCTATTAGCTGACATAAGAGTTTTCTAGATTCAAGCACGTAACAATGAATGATAAACTACTTGTAGCTAATTAAGTAGCATATTTTAATGCCAAAAAAAGGTAAATGAATTGATTTTTCTTCACTTTTTGACGTTTAATGCATGTGAGATGTGAGAAGAGTAAGATTATTGAAGCTATATACTTACTTTTTGGTTGTTAGAAGTTTCTGTGAAGCTCCAAAGATTCGTATGGAAATAGTCTGAAAAAATAATTGTAAATCACTAAAAATTGCTTCAATTTAATTATGCAATATATAGATTCATCGACCATATGTTTGTTAATGGCTATATATTAAGTTTTTGATGGTTTACTTTTAAAATCGTCAAAAGAACATGACAAATATTACAAACAATAAGAGGTCATCGATTATTTTAACTGATTTTAAGCAGTTTTCAAAGGTGATACGTTATGACGAAGTAGTCATGTCACTCAAGAATTTTTTTTTTCTGTGAAAGATTCTTTGTTACAAATGTTCCCGTAGCCCAGCAAGTCTGTTGAGTTGCAAGAACTATTTTTTATTGTTTTTTTTTTCTTTTTTATGTAGTACCATTTATTATGCGACCTGAAAGGTTCAGAAGAAAAATTCCAGGAATGTGTATGGCATGTTTTTGCAAAATCAGCTTGTAGCTAACGTGCTCAAAATGTGCTCAAAAAGAAGACCAGGTTAACGTTGAACAAATCATGAAAGGTTATGAAAGATTGTGTGAACCTTTTCAAGTGTGACAAAGGTTGTAATTTGTATACGTATGACTGAGCTTTTGACACAAATATTTCATCTTTTTCAACACGATGTTTTTACGCCTTGAAATCTCTTCGTTTGCCGACAGTTTTTACTGGCTGCAGGCTGATCGAGTGGGTAAAACAAAAGTAGAATAAAGTTTCCTGGATACCTATAACCATCATATTGAATGCTGAAATGTTTCTCTAAGCGCCTTAAAGCTATATATATAACATTAATCCATTCACGTCCGCGATCATTCCCGTAAAGAGGGTGTTAGAGATGTGCGAGCGTTTTCATAATTTTTTATGATACTCAGTTAAGTGCCTCTACTATAGTACCATTATATAATTCAGTAAATGGTTTGAACCCGGGAGTATCGTTATATGTTTGTTGATGTAGATCGTCCAGGTTAGTAGAGTTCTGAGGACTGCTATTGTTGATGTTAACTGACGTTTCGACATTCTTAGCAGTAGTCATCTTCAGAGTCAACTGACGTTTACTCCTCACTTGACTCTGAAGATGAGTATCGCCAAGTTTGTCGAAATGTCAGTCAACATCAACAAAAGCATTCCTTCTCAGGACTCTACTAACCTGGACGATCTACATCCACAAACATGTAAGGATTTTATATAATTCAGTTAATTATAAATCAGGCTAAAGAATGCTCGGCCGCTTTTAAGTTTAACAAGGAACGTATTGGTTATTTCTTGTTAAGTCATATTTAGAATGGGCAGAGGGAAGAGCTTTTTCATCACGCTGCCAATTGAGGTAAAAATATCTATGGGTTTCAGGTTTATTCCGTCTTAGTCTAATTCCCTAGAATGAAACCTTACGGCATTTGTGCAGTCTTGCTGAGTGATAGTGCCATTAGGTTTATCTCAAGAACTATTGTGAAAGGCAGTTTTATGTTGAAAGGAGTATGCAATAGAGGAAAAAAAACAAATCGTGTTATTTCTTTAAACCTTTTTGCATTCTTTTGCGATTTTTACTGATGGCAAATGACCCCATCAAATTCCCAATTGCATTTTTCATGTTTATAATGTCATAACGACTTCCCATCATTATTCTATTGATTCAAATTGGTCAAAGTGGCATTTTCCTTATTATGCGGACTTAAGAGCCGTAATGATTTAAGTGTTGTACGAGAGGGGGGCTGTACCGGCCACACGACTTTAATTAAATATCATGAGCAATCATTGAATGGGTTGAACGCTGCTGTACCAGAAAAGAAACAAAAAAAAAACAGTTGAAATTTGCGTGACAACAAATTGATATTGCGTGACTCGTTACTCAATTAAAAAGGATTATTTGCCGACTGCACGTCTGTCTATGTTTAATCCAAGTTTTATCGCGAACACGTTTGACTGACATTGACCAGACTTGAGTAAGTCTTCAAAATATCATCTGTTCGCTATTAATTTGCTCGACATCGTTCATCGCTAATGGTTGTTAACATTCTTGTCAGTCTACGGTCATGAGAAAGTTGACTGTAGCCTGCAAAACTTTATCGCACGTCATCTGTTATACATTAGCACATATTAGATTTCAGTTGCCTAAGGGCATTTCAGACAAAGCAACCAACTCCCATGGTCTAACATATTGGAAGATTTTAATTTGATGATAAACGCACGACCTCAAAAAAGTTTACTTTGTACTTATGTTCTGCTGTTGAAATGGTTGACAATCTCTCGGCCGTAATGGTAATTGGCTAACAGGGGCCGCGGAAGTATCTCAAAAGTGGGGGGGCACTGACCGAAAAGGGCATGTGAGTTTGCAGCTTACTGTTTTAGTATATTACAGATATGCATTGTTTCATGAATCGTGATTAAGTTTCAAAGTCAGCAAAATATTGGTAAACATTCTTAGAATGCTATGCGTATTCTCTACTGCTCGGCGTGCGTGCTAACAAATTGAACTAAGATGACTACATGAACAATTTTATTAAGTAAAGCGATCTCATTAAAATTTCCCAAAAAATCTAACCCTACGTTCGTTTTTCAGAACAAAGTCCTTAGCTATTAAACGTAAGTCCAGTTCGTCAGTTCTGGCCTTGTTTACATGCATAACAATAAGATAATTGTAGCGTGCTGCCGTCATTGTGCTCCTGAGATGTGTCTTGACAAGCCGCTGGCATGAAAAAAAAGTTCTCCAGAGGCTGCGCTCATCGGAGCAACAAGGTAAATCAGGGGAAGACGTGTGCTTTATTTCTTCTAGTGTAGGATGGTAAGGCTGTCGGCCTGTACAGCACAAATGCTTACAATCCAGTCCTTGCAAACATTCCGTTGACTCAATTTGCATAGGTCCTACCAATAGGGCGGTAGTCGTGGAACTTGGCAAAGACGCATACGTTAGGTTTTGAGAAGGTGTGTGAACTGGCTCGGTCGGCGGCGCGACTAGTATCTCTAAAGACGATGTAAAGTCAGAATCGCCGAATTTTGGTTTGGAATGAGAATGAGGAGATAAATACGTTGATGGAGTTTCTGTAGCTGACAGCAGTGTCAAACTAGACCTAGAGTCGATGTTTTGGTCAACAACGTTCTCTGCTGGAGCACTACAAAAAAAACTCGTCAGTTTTCGCATCCTTTTAGCTGTTTCTACAAGCTCTTTTTCCTTTTCTCGTTTTCGCCTAGCAGCTCTAGGCATGATGATTTTGATTAGAAGTGATTTAAACCGCAAAATTTTCAATTATTATGATTATGAATTGTCAACAGTTTTGTAGGACCAATGGCCTGAAAGACAATACGACGGGAGCAATGTGTTGCCGTAGAATTTATAGTCTCATGTGGATCATAAATTGCGACTTCTCATTGGTTGATTAAGTTACTGGGCGGGCGTCTGCGAGGACAACCCCCATCGACAAACGCGAATTTTGATCCATCTGGGTAATTAAGATCAAAAACTAAGCTATAGCTGATTTCGCATGATGCCGACAGACTTTGTTCTACTCTCGGGGCTACTTGTATCTAAGAAAAACTTCTTCAGTCCAATTTTACCTAAAACAAGGGCATTTCTACACACCATGAAAAAGGGCACTTTCATTCCAGAAAAAGGGCAAATTTTCCCCTGTTGTAAAAAGTGGGGGGGCACTTGCCCCCAATGCCCCCCGGTTCCGCGGCCTCTGTTGGCTAATCGCTTACTATATACACACGATTTACACACCATCGATTTGTACATGAAGTATTAGGGTCGGTCGCAGGTTAGCACTGTTCGTAGGATGGCGATTTTTAAGCGTTGTCAAAACGGTGGCTGTATTTTCATCACAAAAAACGATGAAACCTTTGCTTTCTTAATTAAACTAAAATTTCTTCAGTTTATTTCACTGACGTTTAAAACAATCAAAGAAGCTTTCATCTTCTCTTGGATAGTGCTATCCTGGCCTCGCGGAGCAGCAGACCCTTTCTGCTTGGTTTAAGCCCACTATTTAAGAAATTGTTAGTCCCAAGATATGTCAAGCTACAAACACGTCACAGTGTGAAATAACTGTATGCAGATATTTTATTTCTTTACAATCTTATAAACTTTAACGGCGACAAGTGGTTTTAAATTTTTGTAAAATCGGAAGCTTTTTGTCTTGCCTTTTAGTGCGTTTACATTTTGGAAAAAATGACATCATTTGGTTGGCTTTCCATCCAACATGAGATTGCATTGCCAAAAGTAGTCTTCGGATTAGAATGACATGCATGGCTGCAAGATTATGTCGTGAATTTTCTACAAATGCCAGCATTGTTGAATTGAAAGGACGCAGATGCCGAGAAAGAGTGAAACGTGTATTAGAAAAAGATGGATCAAGAGATGTTAAAAGGTATGCACGATTATATTCTGATAAGATGGATACTTTGACGTCTTAAAGAAAACCTTTACTTCATTCGTTCATGCTTTCTATGAAAAAATTTAACTTTTTAAATTTCTAAAATGTTTATATCGACCTTTATGTCTATCTTTGTGTCTACCTTTATGACTACCTTTGTGTCTACCTTTTTGTCTGTCGTTGTGTCTATATTTGTGTCTACCTTTATGTCTACCTTTATAGCTACCTTTATGTCTACCTTTTTGTCTACTTTATGTCTGCCTTTATGTCTACCTTTATGTCTACTTTATGTCGACCTTTAAGTCTACTTTTATGTCTACCTTTTTGTCTATCTTTGTGTCTACCTTTATGTTTACCTTTGTGTCTACCTTTATGTCTACCTTTGTGTCTACCTTTATGTCTACCTTTATGTCGACCTTTATGTCTACTTTTATGTCTACCTTTTTGTCTATCTTTGTGTCTACCTTTATGTCTACGTTTATATCCACCTTTATGTCTACCTTTATGCCTACCTTTTTGTCTATCTTTGCGTCTACTTTTTTGTCCACCTTTTTGTCTACCGTTGTGTGTACTTGTCTATGTAATCCATTACACTGTAACCGATTACATCTTTTCTCTACCAAGTACCAAGTCTTGCCTGTCCTCTCTTCTCTTGTTTAGCTTACACTTCCTTCTCAATTCTCGTGTCGTTTCCCTGTTCTGTAAGTTTTGTTGTTTCCATAATTTCGTAAAAGCACTATTGCTAATGCAAATTTAATATAAACGACAAGTTTTTTGAAAATAGACATGTTTCGACATCTCATGATGCCATCTTCAGTATGAGTGAAATAATAGGTAAGACAAGATTGTATCACCTATTATTTCACCTTGTATCACCTATTATTTCACTCATACTGAAGATGGCATCATGGGATGTCGAAACATGTCTATTTTCAAAAAACTTGTCGTTTATATTAAAAGTTTTGTTGTATTATTAAATCTTTATTAGATTGGTAAGAAGACCAATTTATCATTGTTGTGTTTATGTAGTATAATGTAGTTTAATAATGTTTTTGGATCGTCGTTCGTCATAGATAAATTACTATTTCATCTATTTGATTTTAGACATTTGGACCAATAAACTGAAAACAGTCAATAAAGAAGAAACTATAGAAATTCAACTTTAAAAAATGGATAAAAAAGAAGGTAAAAACAGTCGTTGATGATTTAGAATTTTATTTAAACAATTCAACGTGGAGAGGAGACGGAGGAAATTTATATAAAATGTAACGTTGCATGACTACCTTTATGTCTACTTTTTTGTTAATATTTCTTTTAAATAAAGACAAAACATTGTCTTTGTCCTGAAACGCATCGTAACTGCATAAGTTTAGTCCTATAAATAAGCCACATCGTCTTCATACATGATTATGATTTCTCATCACACAAAAAGTGAGCGATTTTTATTATGATTTGCACTGATAGCAAAACGTATTTACTCAATCAACAACACTCAAAAGAAATTCAAAGATACAAAAGCCAACGTAAAGGAGGCTGCCAAAAACAACGATATCAGACTTTATAATGTATGAGTGAAGAAGAATTTTTTAGAACTGCAAAAGAAATGTTGAAGGTAAAAATTTTGGTTGGAGTGAAGGGTTTTTGTATATCGTAAAGTTTATTCAAATGCTATGTTCAGGGGGTTACAAAAAGTATTGTTTTTTTTTACTCAAGAATGCTAACATGCGAAAATCGTCAAACGACGTAAAAGAAGTGATGAAGAACAATTAGAAGAAGGAACAACGAAGGTTTTGTTTTTCTTTGTATATTTTGATATTATGTAACTTTTTCAATCGAAGGCAAAATTTGTTCCTGACAGGCAATCTTATGGCTTTGACGAAACTAAAGCAATGGATGCGACACGGCCCCCTAAAAAGAACGCTCATACAGCAAAAATTTCGAGTTCTTCAAATTTGTCAGTTGATGGAATTCTGCATTTGTTTGCACTATCAGGCTACGATCATGGCCATTCGCTGGAGGAAGGCATTTCTATGACGTCCGCAACTAACGAGAACCCAAATAATTTAGAAGATTCCGGTAAAGTCTTAACGGTATAGAAAAGAATCAAATTTCTAAATCTGTCGATAGTTTTGAAGCATTTCTCGATGAGATGATGTGAATATTAGGTTAATTATGCATGTTGTGGAGTTTGATACTTTCAGCCGTTAAGATTAACAATCAAACTTTCACAACAACAATAGCAATAAATGAAAAACCAGTCAGGGGCAAGAATAGTCATTGTTATAAAGACATAAAAATTTTCTACTTTAGGATTAATCTGTTTTCGTTTATGCATGCATAATAATGCATGTAAGAACATAAATTTCACTTATAAATCTGCCTAGACTAAATTTGAACAGAAACTGCAGCAGCAAGTACAATGGCAAGGATAAAAGGGCGAGACCACGTTAAAGTTTATGTTGAGAGAGAATTATTCGGTCACTGGAAAGGAGTTTCAACGTGGATTGAACGTAAATTATTAACTATCAAAGCGGAATTACTACGAGTTAACGACGTCTATCAGACAAACCAAATGTCAATGGATATACCGGACGAAATCTAAGCATTTGATAAGCATACAGTTTGTACTGAAGCTGAATTGAGTGATAGCGTAACGCAATAAACAAGAGCGCCGTGAAAACTATGCAGATTGGTTTCTTACAACATCCGATTTCCTTGACACAATGTTTAGAGATAATATGGCTGCGTTGTCAAATATGTGGTGATATGTTATAAGTGTCATAAACCATTGAAATGTAGGATATGACTCGTGAAATCGACATTCCTAAAGAACACACCTCAAAATCGGAACGATAGGAAAATTTATTTCCTATGCATATTATATGAAAGATAGAAGAAGACAAGTTATCGGCCGCTTTAAAGCCTTCACCAACGTCAAGCCAGAAATATGTCATCCTCATATTTTACTACGACAAGTGCCATTGGATTAATAAAGCTAATATCGACAGCAGCCGCTAAATGAAATCTGCATTGCTTAGCCGTAAGAAAACGTGCTGCTTTTGAAAGACTTACTTGTCTCTATCTTTTTCAAAAGAATTTCGAACTATAACTAAATGTAACTATAGATGTTTTGCTAATGTATTACCAAACTAACATTAATTTATAAATGTATTTATTTGTACTACTCTTTCACTTTTATATCAACATTCGACTACGAATATGATTTTGGTTTGTTGTTTTATCTATAGCTGTAAGTGTTCTGCTCTAATTTTGATTCGAGACCTTCAATGGTCTATTTTTTTGCATTAATTACTTCTAGGTAGGAGTGGTACTTTAAAATGACCAGGTGTCTTCAACGAACTCTCTGGTCTAGTGGTTAGACACAACCTTTCGAGGTTGAGAGTGGAGGTTCGAACCCTGTCTAGAATAAGATGTTGTTAGGCTGTAGAATGATCCGAAACATGGGAAAATAGTGCTGGTTACTACAGCGAAAATGAGATTTCTATTACTACGTTTTTCGAGAATGGAATGCGACACTTAGTATAAATTCAGAAAAATTCGCTCTCCGATGAGAAGGAGAGCGAAGAAAAAAAGATAGGATCCCATGCAAAAACCACTCTTAAAAACTAAGTCTTTTGCTCAAATTTTTATGACTCCTGTGATCAGGGAGTTATTTTTTTAAATTTTGAAAAGTCAGGAAACCCAAGAGCAAACAGAACGCCCTAATCATCCCTTTCTTACTTCCAGGCACTTGTTCCTCAGTTCGACTTTCTGTCTTCCACATCCGCCGCGTACACCTGCCAAGTGTGTTGGCAGAGGGCGAACCAAGGATCTTGTGCACCGGAGGTCATTGATGTCGAACTAAACGCCCAACATCGGCCAGTTGAGCTAACCGCTCATCATCGAAAACTCTATGTTTTTTGGCGTATTTGCTAATTTTTTTCAATGTAAAGCGAAAGAAAAGGAGAAGGTCTTGAACCTTAGAAGGTCTTGAACCTTAGAAGGTGAGATCACTGCACCGGCATCTCTACCACTCGGCCAGACGGGTGAATTGAAAAACCGTTTAAAACATGTCAAGTGTTTCTCACAAAAGAACATTGCCTTCTTTTCTCTCGAGGCTCATATTTTATACTGTGTTTAACTTGTACTTCGTCCTTATCAATGCAACGGTGAAGAAAGGGACTTACTACGCATTTTAGCTGTCCAACTCAAACATTGCTGGAGAATAAATGTTAGAACTGAAGGGAGGAAGATTAATAAAGTATGCACAATGTCAGACATTGCCATGTGGTAAATCAAAACAACAACGCGCATGTTCGTAGTCAATTTAATGACGCTGGGAGTTTCTAACTTGTCTGTTCAAAGATAAATAACATATTTTTGCTATCATTTATGATAATATTGTAATGGTTTCTACAAATTATATGGTTCCTACAGAACAGTATCCACTTACTAATTCATAGTCTATTCAAGTCTTTTTGTCATTTTACCATCTTGCCATGTCTTGAGTGTCATCATTTAAAATATAGTCAATGTAATCAATATAGCCAATGCGGTTTTTGTCTACATATGTGTCTACGTTCTTGTCTACCTTTGTGTCTACCTTAATGTGATTGTCTACCTTTTCATAGGACAAAGTTCTTATTTTTTTGAACACGACAATTGAAAAATTAGTCATTTCATAGTCGAAAGTAGTCGAAGTAATCGAAGGTAGTCAATTCACGCGATGCCATGTGGTAAACATGAACAACTTCTCTTTCTATTCATGCATTTTCACTAATTTTCACATTTTTTTCACACAAAGACTATAATTCACGCATTTTCACAAATTTTCACATTTTCTCACACAAAGACAATAATTCATGCATTTTAACAAATTTTCACATTTTCTCACACAAAGACTATAATTCACGCATTTTCACAAATTTTCACATTTTCTCACACAAAGACTATAGTTCACGAATTTTCACAAATTTTCACATTTTCTCACACAAAGACTATAATTCACGCATTTTCACAAATTTTCTCACACAAAGACTATAATTCACGCATTTTCACAAATTTTCAAATTTTCTCACACAAAGACTATAATTCACGCATTTTCACAAATTTTCAAATTTTCTCACACTAAGATTACTATTTCATTCACATTTTATATTTTACATTTTCATTTCACATTTCTCACATTAAAGATTTTCACAATTTTCACATTTTCATCACATTTCATTTTTTCATTTTCACACAAAGACTATAGTTTCCATTCCATTCAAAGATATAATTCATTTTCTTTGCATTAAATTTTCACATTTTCACACCATTAACAATTTTCATTCCAAAGTAGATTCATCCATTAATTTCATATTTTCTCAAAAGAACATATTCATGCATTTTCAATTTCTTTTTTTTCACACAAAGATTAATTATGATTTTTAAATTTTCATATTTCACACAAAGACTATAGTTCTATATATTTTTTCCTCAATAATAAAGTGATTTTCAAATTTATTATTTTTGTGATATGCATTATAATTTTGACTGTGAATTATTTTCAATTTAAAATGCATGAATTATAGTCTTGTGTGAAAAAATGTGAAAATTTGGAAATAATTATAGTCTTTGTGAGAAATGTGAAAATTTGAAAATTGTGAAAATGAGAAAATGGAATTTGAAATGGAATTGGAAAGGAATGGAATGGAATGAATGGAATGGAAAAATGGAATGGAATGGAATGGAATGAAATGGAATGGAATGGAATGGAAATGGAATGGAATGGAATGGAATGGAATCTTTGAAAATGTGAAAATGCGAAGAAAATGTGAAAATTTGTGAAAATTCGTGAACTATAGTCTTTGTGTGAGAAAATGTGAAAATTAGTGAAAATGCGTGAATAGAAAGAGAAGTTGTACATGTTTACCACATGGCATCGCGTGAATTGACTACCTTCGATTACTTCGACTACTTTCGACTATGAAATGACTAATTTTTCAATTGTCGTGTTCAAAAAAATAAGAACTTTGTCCTATGAAAAGGTAGACAATCACATTAAGGTAGACACAAAGGTAGACAAGAACGTAGACACATATGTAGACAAAAACCGCATTGGCTATATTGATTACATTGACTATATTTTAAATGATGACACTCAAGACATGGCAAGATGGTAAAATGACAAAAAGACTTGAATAGACTATGAATTAGTAAGTGGATACTGTTCTGTAGGAACCATATAATTTGTAGAAAACATTACAATATTATCATAAATGATAGCAAAAATATGTTATTTATCTTTGAACAGACAAGTTAGAAACTCCCAGCGTCATTAAATTGACTACGAACATGCGCGTTGTTGTTTTGATTTACCACATGGCAATGTCTGACATTGTGCATACTTTATTAATCTTCCTCCCTTCAGTTCTAACATTTATTCTCCAGCAATGTTTGAGTTGGACAGCTCTAATGCGTAGTAAGTCCCTTTCTTCACCGTTGCATTGATAACGACGAAGTACAAGTTAAACACAGTATAAAATATGAGCCTCGAGAGAAACGAAGGCAATGTTCTTTTGTGAGAAACACTTGACATGTTTTAAACGGTTTTTCAATTCTCCCGTCTGGCCGAGTGGTAGAGATGCCGGTGCAGTGATCTCACCTTCTAAGGTTCAAGACCTTCTAAGGTTTAAGACCTTCTCCTTTTCTTTCGCTTTACATTGAAAAAAATTAGCAAATACGCCAAAAAACATAGAGTTTTCGATGATGAGCGGTTAGCTCAACTGGCCGATGTTGGGCGTTTAGTTCGACATCAATGACCTCCGGTGCACAAGATCCTTGGTTCGCCCTCTGCCAACACACTTGGCAGGTGTACGCGGCGGATGTGGAAGACAGAAAGTCGAACTGAGGAACAAGTGCCTGGAAGTAAGAAAGGGATGATTAGGGCGTTCTGTTTGCTCTTGGGTTTCCTGACTTTTCAAAATTTAAAAAAATAACTCCCTGATCACAGGGAGTCATAAAAAAATTTGAGCAAAAGACTTAGTTTTTTTAAGAGTGGTTTTTTGCATGGGATCCTATCTTTTTTTTTTCTTCGCTCTCCTCATCGGAGAGCGAATTTTTCTGAATTTATACTAAGTGTCGCATTCCATTCTCGAAAAACGTAGTAATAGAAATCTCATTTTCGCTGTAGTAACCAGCACTATTTTCCCATGTTTCGGATCATTCTACAGCCTAACAACATCTTATTCTAGACAGGGTTCGAACCTCCACTCTCAACCTCGAAAGGTTGTGTCTAACCACTAGACCAGAGAGTTCGTTGAAGACACCTGGTCATTTTAAAGTACCACTCCTACCTAGAAGTAATTAATGCAAAAAAATAGACCATTGAAGGTCTCGAATCAAAATTAGAGCAGAACACTTACAGCTATAGATAAAACAACAAACCAAAAATCATATTCGTAGTCGAATGTTGATATAAAAAGTGAAAGAGTAGTACAAATAAATACATTTATAAATTAATGTTAGTTTGGTAATACATTAGCAAAACATCTATAGTTACATTTAGTTATAGTTCGAAATTCTTTTGAAAAAGATAGAGACAAGTAAGTCTTTCAAAAGCAGCACGTTTTCTTACGGCTAAGCAATGCAGATTTCATTTAGCGGCTGCTGTCGATACTAGCTTTATTAATCCAATGGCACTTGTCGTAGTAAAATATGAGGATGACATATTTCTGGCTTGACGTTGGTGAAGGCTTTAAAGCGGCCGATAACTTGTCTTCATCTATCTTTCATATATTATGCATGGGAAATAAATTTTCCTATCGTTCCGATTTTGAGGTGTGTTCTTTAGGAATGTCGATTTCACGAGTCATATCCTACATTTCAATGGTTTATGACACTTATAACATATCACCACATATTTGACAACGCAGCCATATTATCTCTAAACATTGTGTGTCAAGGAAATCGGATGTTGTAAGAAACCAATCTGCATAGTTTCACGGCGCTCTTGTTTATTGTTACGCTCACTCAATTCAGCTTCAGTATGCTTATCAAATGCTTAGATTTCGTCCGGTATATCCATTGACATTTTGGTTTGTCTGATAGACGTCGTTAACTCGTAGTAATTCCGCTTTGATAGTTAATAATTTACGTTCAATCCACGTTGAGAGCCCCTTCCAGTGACCGAATAATTCTCTCTCAACATAAACTTTAACGTGGTCTCGCCCTTTTATCCTTGCCATTGTACTTGCTGCTGCTGTTTCTGTTCAAATTTAGTCTAGGCAGATTTATAAGTGGAATTTATGTTCTTACATGCATTATTATGCATGCATAAACGAAAACAGATTAATCCTAAAGTAGAAAATTTTTATGTCTTTATAACAATGACTATTCTTGCACCTGACTGGTTTTTCATTTATTGCTATTGTTGTTGTGAAAGTTTGATTGTTAATCTTAACGGCTGAAAGTATCAAACTCCACAACATGCATAATTAACCTAATATTCCCATCCATCTCATCGAGAAATGCTTCAAAACTATCAACAGATTTAGAAATTTGATTCTTTTCTATATCGTTAATGACTTTACCGCAATTTTCTAAATTATTTGAGTTCTCGTTAGTTGCGGACGTCATAGAAATGCCTTCCTCCAGCGAATGGCCATGATCGTAGCCTGATAGTTCAAACAAATGCAGAATTCCATCAACTGACAAATTTAAAGAATTTGAAGTTTTTGCTGTAAGAGCGTTCTTTTGGGGGGCCGTGTCGCATCCATTACTTTAGTTTCGTCAAAGCTATAAGATTGCCTGTCAGGAACAAATTTTGCCTTCGATTGAATAAGTTACATAATATCAAAATGTACAAAGAAAAACAAAACCTTTGTTGTTCCTTCTCCTCATTGTTCTTCATCACATCTTTTTTGTCGTTTGACGATTTTCCTATGTTAGCATTCTTAAGTAAAAAAAAGTAATACTTTTTGTATCCCCCTGAATATAGCATTTGAACAAAGTTACGATGTACAAAAACCCTTCACTCCAACCAAAATTTTTACCTTCAATGTTTCTTTTGCAGTTCTAAAAAATTCTTCTTCACTCATACATTATAAAGTCTGGTATCGTTGTTTCTTGGCAGCCTCCTTTACGTTGGCATTTCTACCTTAGAATTTCTTTTGCGTGTTGTTGATTGAGTAGGGCATGAAATTCTTTATAGTGGGAAAGACAAATTATAAATTTACTTCAGCTGCAATTCTTTTATCATTGTAAATTGTACTACAGCTGTGACTATTTCATCATGAATTATATTAAAGCTGTAGCTGTTTCATCAAACTACAACAAATATAAAAAAAACAAACCAGATCGTTCACATTGTTTCTTTGACAATCTTTGCAGTTTAATAGTAAACCAATGACATGTTTACAACTTCCAGTCTTTCCACCAACATCTGGTCAGGAGTATCTCGCTTCAAGTAATTCATACACGTGTCTTCAAAGAACAATTAATTCGCCAATGACGTGGTTTTCAAGATCTGGTCGATGTGACAACTGCAAGATATATGCGTACTTACTTGTATCCAAGAAGTAAAGATGCAATAAGGTTCCTTTCATACGTACACCAATGAAAATATTCAGCGACAACACACACAATATCATTCTAACTATGTAAATAAGAAAATAGGATTTTGTATGTGGTTCCTAGTAACACAATCGCTGTGATTAGTCTGAAATATCTTGAGTTAGGAGGAAACATTAGCTCTATTGTCAATCAAGATCAATTAAAGATTATTTCCTTTTATCCGGTGTTAATATTTCCAGCAAAGTTAATTTTTTTTACAAACTTCCTTATTGTCCTCGTATCTTCTCGTTTCAATTAACTTTGTCTAAATAAATTTTGAAATAATCAACGATTGTTCTTACCTTCCCTTTTATTCATTTTTACAATTAGACTTCCACAAGTTCTTCTTTTTCAATTATTTAATTTGTCGTCCACTTCCTTTTTTTCCAACTTGTTTAACTGTTTTCAGTTTTTTGGTCCAAATGTCTAAAATCAAAATAGTTATTAATCAATGACAAACAACGAATTTTTCATATTGTCAAACTATACTCAAAACAAACTATAGAAAATCCTTTCTATCCTTCCCTACACTGCCCTTTTTTACCAAACTAATAAAGAATCTATTGTTACAAAAAATATACAGAGGAGAGGCGAAAAGGGCAAAGAAGAGAAGAGAAAAAGGCAAGAAGTCAGAGAAGAGCTTAGGACTAATACTAGCTGTAAAACTAATGTTCACATGACAAACACTTTCAGTGATACTATAACACTAGCACTAAAGCTAACACAAACATTAAGACTAACACTTACTTTAACACCAAGGCTAAAACTAACACAAAACTTATGCTCACATGACAAACACTTTCAGTGATACTATAACACTAGCACTAAATCTAACACCAACATTAAGACTAACACTTACTTTAACACCAAGGCTAAAACTAACACAGGCATCATCACAACACCAACACTATCACCATGAAACTATCTCTAACGCTACACCAAGAGAGAGACCAGTACTAACTTGAACAGAAAGGTAAACACTACCATTAATACTAACTCTAGCACTAAGACCACCACCAAAACTAACACTAGCACTGAGACTAACACCAACACTAGGACTAACACCAACACTAAGACTAACACCAACACTAAGACTAACACCAACACTAAGACTAACACCAACACCAACAACACTAAACTAACACCAACACTATCACTAACACCAACACTATCACTAACACTAAGACTAACACCAACACTAAGACCACACAACACTAAAACCACACTATCACAAACACCAACACCAACACCATCACAAACACCAACACTAGGACTAACACCAACACTATCACTAACACCAACACTATCACTAACACCAACACTATCACTAACACCAACACTACTCACTCAACACCAACACTATCACTAACACCAACACTATCACTAACACCAACACTAAGACTAACACCAACACTAAAACTAACACAAACACTATCACTAACACCAACACTATCACTAACACCAACACTATCACTAACACCAACACTATCACTAACACCAACACTATCACTAACACCAACACTAAGACTAACACCAACACTAAAACTAACACAAACACTATCACTAACACCAACACTATCACTAACACCAACACTGAAACTAACACCAACACTAGGACTAACACCAACACCAACACCAACACTATCACTAACACCAACACTATCACTAACACCAACACTATCACTAACACCAGCACTAAAACTAACACAAACACTAGAACTAACACCAACACTATCACTAACACCAACACTATCACTAACACTATCACTAACACCAACACTATCACTAACACCAACACTATCACTAACACCAACACTATCACTAACACCAGCACTAAAACTAACACAAACACTAGAACTAACACCAACACTATCACTAACACGAACACTATCACTAACACGAACACTATCACTAACACCAACACTATCACTAACACCAACACTATCACTAACACCAACACTATCACTAACACCAACACTATCGCTAACACAAACACTAGGACTAACACCAACACTAAGACTAACACAAACACTAACATCAGCAACACCACCATGACTAAGACTATTGTGACACTAACACTACTTCTGCTGCAGCAAGAATAAAAGTAACACCAGCACTAAGACAACGACTAAATAGCATCAAGACTAGAACTAACACAAACACCAGCCCCAAGACTTACACTATGACCACATTAAGGTTAACACAAATACCAATAGTTAACACCAAATTAACATGCTAAGAATGGCTGTTTTTATGCTTAAGATGGATAATAAGTCTTGACGACTTATACGTCTAAACTTTAAACTATCCAGCGTAAAGACGGGTCGACTTAAATCAAAACTAAACGGCAAAATAATCAGTTGATCGAGACGGAATTAACAACTTTAGTTCCGAGACGAACGGGTAGTTCGTCTTACGTCCGTCTTTATCCTTCCGACAATGGCGCATCAAAAATATTCGTCTTAAGACGTCCAGTCGTGTTATCCATCTTAAGCATATTGTGTGATTTACTACTTTCCTAACTGTACCCTGACTTTATTAAGAATATAGCTTTATGGTTAAGAAATTATAAATTGGGTGCACTTTATGAAAAGGAATCAGGTTATTAGGCTAAAGCTAATCAGTAAATAGTTGGAAATGCAGTTATTTTGGATAAGAACAATAGTTTTTGTTTTTCAATCAAGCAAATTCTGCCTTTACGTATTTTGAAAAATTAATCCTATTCCTTCCATTAGCAATCAGTTTCCTTGCCATACTTGTTTGAACAAACACATACTTCATCGTACTAACTTAAGTGTTTTTTGACCTTATAACCTAAACCCTACTCAAAGCCATATTTAAGAGATCTACTAATCCATAAAATGCTATTCTTAACCAAAACCATTTTTCAGCTAACCTTGATATTAAATCTTGTATTGACCTCTTCCTTCAGCTTTTTTCTTGAACTTGAATGATAAAGAATTGATCTTAATGAAATCATGAAACATAACTTAGCAAGATAAATAATTTTGAAATCTTTAATAATCACCAATTTTCATGGTTGTAGGGAGACGAGTGGATATCAAGGGTGGTAAATTGTGGTCAACAGTACGACTTCAACAAGCCAAAATAAACATGTTATGTTTTAATCATAAAAATTCCTTGAAGGTCATCTTATTTCCTCTAAGTAAATACCTACATTGGTCACTGTATTTAGCTGCCTCTTTTACAGCTTTATGCATGATATTTTTATTGATTTGTATCAGCAAATATATATTTATGAAACATACATTTATTTCATGCAATATAGCATAAATGTTCTGCAGTATTTTAAAGAAAGAGTCAAGTTATAAACCTATGATAAATAAGCTGTTAATGTTAACTCCTTATGTTTATCAAATGATTCAAACCATCCTACCTTGTGTAAAGATTCTACAATGGCGATGCCATATAAATTTACTAAATGGTTGTCAACATCTTTGATGAGTTCATAAACAACTTTTGCAAATACGATCAAAATGAATAGAGGTGTTTCGACAAGTTAAAATCACTGTGATGCAACAAATCTTCGTGATTTTGTCGTAAAATATCAAATTGTGATATTTTCTTTGAACTAGTGGTGTATGAAAGCAACTTTATCCCCATCTTTATAGCCCACCCACAGATTGTTTTCACTCATTCACTATGGATCCACAAGACAATGGATGAAGCATCTATATTGGTGTTCCAAACAAAAGAATTTCATTAAATTTCTTTTCAATTGGCACACCAAATCATGTGATAGTCTGAGTGGAGCTTTTCTTTGGTAGATGAAAGGTTGAACAAGCTTGTACAGAATAAAAAATTGTTATCAGTCCCAGAGTGCTCCAAGGTTCAATTCTCCAGGTGATATGGTCAGTTTAAGTTGATGCAAGTGCCTGCAACTAGCCTGAAGATGACCTTAGTAGGAATAGGCTCTAGGTAATATCCAGGGAGGAGTAAGTAAAGTCAGTATTCACCATGTGTGAACACTAGGTAAAGTCTCTACAAAGTATGAGGTGGAGATGCAGAGAGGATGGAAGGAGAAGAGAGAATATATTCCCACTCATTATTGTCATAAAAAAACTGTAAAATCATCTATATTCTACCCCTTATTGTTCTGAAAACTTTTTATCTATGATCAGTAATCTGTTGATATCAACTCCTTATGCCCATCAAACGAATCAAACCATAATACTATGTATAGTAGAAGATTCTGCATTTAAATTCTTTGACGGTCATAATTGTCACGACTCGTCAACATCTTTGTTGAGTTCTTTAACTACTTTTCCCAATATCTTCGAAATAAATAGTCGTGTTTAGACAAGTTCAATTCACTGTGATGCTATATATCAAATTAATTTAGCAAATAATACAATATTTTACCAAATACTTACGATAAAAAAACTGTGTCAGCAGGAAAACTTTTTAAACATGGCGCGGGAAGAAATAAAAGGTCCACAAAAAAAGTAAAGCAACCATTATCAAATGTAATTGGTCAAAAAAGATCACGTGTTACGTCGCTTTGCTGAAAAATTCAATATTTACTATTAAATCAAAGAATACGGATATCTTTTGTGGTTTAGTTTATTTTTACTTATTTAGTATCTCATCTGTTTGAATCAAATCCACATTTTGAATACTTTGAATCAAACATCAATGTTTGAAACCTGAAATATAAAAATATGGCCACAATAGAAAATAAAAGATGAGGATTTTAGGTAATTTTTTTTATGTACGTCTGAAAGATGTTTTTGACCTCTCAGCAATATTGAAATAAAACGAACAATAATTGAAGGAATTATTTTCTCAAATGTTCGAAGTCACAGAAACTTGCTTGCACGATAGTTTGAAGTGTGAATCGGGGCTTCACGTAGGCCTTTTAATATTGATCATATGTGAAAAAGCTTTTTGAAACAATCATATAATGTCAATTACTTTCAGGTAAAATTAGTGTTGGGGTTGCAACAGTTCTAAGGTAAGGAAAATGTACTTCAAAATATTATTTGAGCTTTTGAACACTACGTTTAACATTAAAACTTTCAAATCGTTGCAATAAATTGTCCTGTTGCGATTCTGTGCTATTATATCTGTTTTGTGCAGTGTTTCCAGGAAGGTTGATTTTTTGGGGGTTGGAGGGAGAGCCCACACCCATACAAGCCTACCAACATACAAACCCATATATTTTACAGTGCATTTACACATCAGTGCATTATAATATAGTCCATGCATTGCCCCTTACCCTTGTTGCTTGCGAATAAGCCTTCCTATGTACAAACCCTTAGAAAGGGATTGTTTACTTCAGTTAGTAAAGGGCTTGTGGGGGAGGTATACAGAGTCATAAAAAATTTTATTTTAGTGGTAAAAATGAAAAACTATAGTCTAAAAATATTATGGCAGACAACCATAGGCAGCCTCCTTCCCCCTTTGCCTACGTTTGCGTATGATATTGTCAAAAGCATTAATTTCTAAAATTAAAAAGTATTTGCATACTATTTCTGCCAATTTATTTATTTAAGTTAAACATGTTTATTTTTACTTGTTATTAGTGGTTCATGGTTAACATCTTTGGCATCTAATGACCCAAAATGGTTAACTTCAACCATTGATAGCTATGCAAAACAAAAATTTCCTAAAGCATATCATTTTGTCTTAAATCTACCAACAGGTGAGTAAAGAAAATTATCAATTATTCACAAAGATGACAGTTTCACATTGAATTATAAAATTAAATAGTTATTTGAATCTAGGGCCTGAAACAGTGGGATTTTTGATCTCTCATTATCCATGCCTTTTCTTGAGACTAACTCAGTATAATCATTGGTTGCTGCAAATATTTTGCCAAGAGATAATATCTTTAGCAATCCTTCCACAAGGTATGAGTTAGGACTGGGGGTGGTGATTTGGTGTTTGTCTATATATATTTTTAGTTTCATTGTGATGTATTGTTTATTCTTTTTAGGTTTCAATTTCAATGGATATCTTGACGAAAGTACTTCAACACATACGTTGTTATTTTTGACAAGGAATGCCCTCTTGGATGAGAATTACCATGCCAACAAATCTGAGGTATATTGTACAAAAAAGACATTGTTTAAATGTTCAACCAGATATACATGTGTAAACAAGATTGTATTTTAGATTAATGTAGATTTACTATAGATTACTGAAGCTCCTTATTATTTCCTAATGTCATTTTTTAAAAGTGAATCAATTGAGAAAACTGAACTTTTTCACATGAAGGTGTTTGAAAAGGAAGAAAAAGAGTTATGGGTTGCATTTCATCAGCTGTTGTTATCCTTACCATATACTGAAGAATGTACTGAGTGGTTGACACAATTTGCTTTTCATGGAGGCAAGACCGGACACAACCTATACAAGGTAAAAATAAATGCTTATTTTCCTTCTATATTTGATAATAAAAAAATAAATGAGGAAAATTGCTGTGTTTCATTGTTGGTTCCATGGCTTTTTGTACCATGTGATTTCATTTTATCATCATTTGTACTTCTCTTCATTATCCATCATTATCTTACTTTTCAGTTATCCATTTGTATCTTCTCCAGTTTGGATCCTGCAGGATCCAAAGAAGATAAATTTGAAATGATCCTTGATACGATTGTGTTAGGGTACTAACCAGGATCCTCTATTCTATCTTACTTCCCCTTAATCCATCATTATTGTACTTTCCCATTTTTTCTTACCATTGTCATACTTCTCCTCAATCCATCATTATCAGTAGTTTCTCAGCTTTCTCCCTTCTACCCATCATTATCAGTAGTTTATCAGCTTTCTCCTCTTCTCTTTTGCTCGTAATTTTTAATTTTATAGCGTGAACTTCATTTCCATTATCAAAGATTATTTTGAAATTAACCAACTGCAGAAAAAACTTCTCGAGAAGTAAAAGTGCTATGTAATGTGCAACATTCGTGATTCTAAAGACATTTATTTCGTACGCAGAAAGTGAAATAACTAAGTTTGTCTTTTTGTAAATATAGACAATCTTTTGGCATTCGGAAGATGAAGATAACCTTGAGACAACCTCCTCAGTTGAAGAGATCATTTTATTTATGAAAGCGTTGCGAAAACATTCTGAAGTAAGCATATCGAGATAATTGTGTAAGTAAGCATATCGAGATAATTGATATCTAAACATTCTAATCTGCAGAACTAACTGCATTGGTAGATGTTTTCCCGTATTTGCTCAGCATGTGTTGTCTTCTTAAGGTAAAGGAACACCGAGGGTTAATAATGGAGAACAATGGTCTTGATGTACTGCGTCTAGTCGTCAAGAATTATGATGACGTTCGTATTACCAGATTGGTTTGTGCGATTCTTGGAAATTTGGCTGTCGACGTGTGCTCTTGTGATGATATGATTCGAAAAGGTTCGCTTGAGTGTCATTGTAATTACTTATTGATTTCTTTATCATACATTAGAAATTACTAAGGTCATGTATGACCAACTGAATTTTTTGACATCAAAATGGCGAATCCTTTTGCTAATGGCTATGCAATTTACCGTTGAAATTTCTTTAAAGTTTAACTTATTTCAAATTAATTTGTTTTTACGTACATCGTTTCAGGTTGGCTGAGAGACCTCCAAGAGTGGATTAAATCAATGGTATGCATGACTTTGGCAGTTGATTCACCTTTCATTGTTGTACCATGGTCAAAACAGTTGGTTGATCTTTCATTGTCGCACCATGGTCAAAACAGTTGGTTGATCTTTCATTGTTGTACCATGGTCAAAACAGTTGGTTGATCTTTCATTGTTGTACCATGGTCAAAACAGTTGGTTGATCTTTCATTGTTGTACCATGGTCAACACAGTTGGTTCATCTTTTATTGTTGTACCATAGTCAAAACAGTTGGTTGATCTTTCATTGTTGTACCATGGTCAAAACAGTTGGTTGATCTTTCATTGTTGTACCATGGTCAAAACAGTTGGTTGATCTTTCATTGTTGTACCATGGTCAAAACAGTTGGTTGATCTTTCATTGTTGTACCATGGTCAAAACAGTTGGTTGATCTTTCATTGTTGTACCATGGTCAAAACAGTTGGTTGATCTTTCATTGTTGTACCATGGTCAAAACAGTTGGTTGATCTTTCATTGTTATACCATGGTCAAAACAGTTGGTTGATCTTTCATTGTTGTACCATGGTCAAAACAGTTGGTTGATCTTTCATTGTTGTACCATGGTCAAAACAGTTGGTTGATCTTTCATTGTTGTACCATGGTCAAAACAGTTGGTTGATCTTTCATTGTTGTACCATGGTCAAAACAGTTGGTTGATCTTTCATTGTTGTACCATAGTCAAAACAGTTGGTTGATCTTTCATTGTTGTACCATGGTCAAAACAGTTGGTTGATCTTTCATTGTTGTACCATGGTCAAAACAGTTGGTTGATCTTTCATTGTTGTACCATGGTCAAAACAGTTGGTTGATCTTTCATTGTTGTACCATGGTCAAAACAGTTGGTTGATCCTTCATTGTTGTACCATGGTCAACACAGTTGGTTCACCATTCATTGTTGTACCATGGTCAACACAGTTGGTTCACCATTCATTGTTGTACCATGGTCAACACAGTTGGTTCACCTTTCATTGTTGTACCATGGTCAACACAGTTGGTTCACCTTTCATTGTTGTACCATGGTCAACACAGTTGGTTCACCATTCATTGTTGTACCATGGTCAACACAGTTGGTTCACCATTCATTGTTGTACCATGGTCAACACAGTTGGTTCACCTTTCATTGTTGTACCATGGTCAACACAGTTGGTTCACCTTTCATTGTTGTACCATGGTCAACACAGTTGGTTCACCATTCATTGTTGTACCATGGTTAACACAGTTGGTTCATCCTTCATTGTTGTACCATGGTCAACACAGTTGGTTCACCATTCATTGTTGTACCATTCTCTGTTGTGCCATGATTTTTATAATAGCTTCGCCATTCTTTGTTATATTATGGTTATTGTCTATGTAATATCGTCTATAGTAGCTTCATGCTTCGTTAATTTCTAGGATAGCATTGTTAAGAGTCATTCACTGCGAACTTTGATGAACTTGGAAAGAAACAGCGAACTTGACGATGTTTTTGAAGATGGTATATTTGTTGTTGCTCCTGAAACAAACTTTGGACGGTAATGCTCCCTCACAATTGTATTAATTTAACTTTTTTTTAATGGTTGCATTTTTTACTTTACTACTTGTACTCTAATTAAATGAGATATGATCTTCGCACTTAGCTGGACAATTTAAGCAATCGTCTCAGGACCTGAAAAAATCAGGTGACTCAACGGGATTCGAACCCATGACCTCTGCGGTGCCGGTGCAGTGCTCTGACCACTGAGCTATGAAGTCACACAGTGGTGAGCAGGTCAATATTGTTGGGCTCATGTTTTCTCGTGAAATGAATGTCATATGAATGTTTTATGCAGTGCGGTGTTTTGAAATTAAATGAGATATGATCTTCGCACTTAGCTGGACAATTTAAGCAATCGTCTCAGGACCTGAAAAAATCAGGTGACTCAACGGGATTCGAACCCATGACCTCTGCGGTGCCGGTGCAGTGCTCTGACCACTGAGCTATGAAGTCACACAGTGGTGAGCAGGTGAGCACAAATTGTCCAGCTAAGTGCGAAGATCATATCTCATTTAATTTCAAAACACCGCACTGCATAAAACATTCATACTTGTACTCTATTTGCTTATATATGATCGATTTTACGAAGAGATCTTGAATTTCAAATGTTTTCAATGTTAAATTACATTCACTACTGAAATCTGCGTTGTCACGTTGTTGGAGACGCGTCTTATCTCCTGTGAAATACTCTGGAGTATGAATTGCTTGTACTTGCAGTTTATTCTAACATGGAGTTTCGTGGTCTGATTGGAAGACAAGGATATGTCTAATGCATTCAACGTCATCGCTTTTTGGAATAAATGTGTGAAAGTTTTTTTAAGGACTTTCATTTTGCCATTTTAAAGTATTTTGTTTTCAGGTTTTGTCAATTGTTGTTTGTATTGCTCTATCAACATTAAGTTTAATTTTGTGTAGCGTCGAAGTTGATCTTGTATTTTTACATGGCCTACGTGGGGGTCCATTTCGGACTTGGCGAAGTAGACGTGAGACAAGTACTGAAACATGTACAACGGATTGTTGGCCCAGGGTAGGTTATGATTTTAATCTTCATTTCATACAATGTTTAGTTCGTGCTCAATTGGGGGAAGCTTTCTTACATATTACAACCCAAGATGTATAAAGGCCTGTCACGGTGGATTATTTATCTGCACTAGCACGAGAAAAGACCTCCGCGAAAAACTATCGAGTTTAATTTCCCTAAACCTATGATGAAGAATGTCCAAAAGTTCGCATAAATAACATGACTTGTTTGTCATTAGGACTGGCTTCCTGTCGATCTACCTGAATGCAGAGTCATTGTGGTTGAGTACGACACAGAATTAAGTGGATGGACATCAAAATGTCCTGTGCAATCTGAAGGGTAAAGTTATCTGTTATGCCCTTCCTTTTGGGGCACGTTTACCTGTTTTAAGATAGTAATAAAGTTCTAGAAAACGTTTTGGTGAAGTTATTTACAGTTCATCCATCTTCACGACAATCTTTCTTCAATGCAGGTCGACCATTGATTATCGTGTTTCTAAAATCTTGAGCAAATTGATGAATGCTGGTGTGGGTAAACGTCCTGTTGTGTGGATATGTCATTCTTTGGGAGGTGAGATTATTGTAATTTGGTAATTGTATTTCCGCGAATAAGTTCAATTTCAATGATATATCCCCATTATTGTTTGTTGAAAATATGATTTTTAAATGGTCATTTATGGTCTCATCTCACATGGTCGCACGCCATAACCACTGTGACACCACATTATAATTTTTCTCTCAGCCTCTACGTAAGCTCATGAACTGTCAGTGTCAGGTATGTAGATGGCGTGTTTTTTTTTCTTTATAGGCTTAACGGTTAAACAAATACTCTCGAATGCCACAAGCTCGTCGGATTATTGGTAATCTTTACTTTGGTATTTTATATTTTTGTAGTTGGAAGGTTTTACGCAATGAGCATGTTGTATAATACTGATTAAACTGCTAAAGTTCTATATCATATATCCCGGTATGCTTATTTACCATATAAGACAAGGTGATCTTTAAAATTTCGTATGCCATTTTACTAATGACTAGGAAGTTCAAAATTGTTTTCGCCCCCCATCTCTCAGGCATCACTATGGAATGTGTCAATCCTTTACTCTTTTTGAACCTGTTTTGCTTTAGTTTTTTATTGGCGAACACCAGAGCTTTTATATTCTATGCTGTTCCACATAGAGGTTCTGATATCGCCTCAATGGCTGCTGGAAAGGCAAGATACTTTTTACTGCCTTCAGTAGACGTGAAAGTGCTACAAAAAGGTGAATAACTCATTTTCACGTGAAGAATTAAATTAAATTGTTCCATATTACTGTTATATTATTTTACTTTTATTCACTCAAATATTTTCATTATTATCAAACTAGAAAAACGTTTTGTAACGTTTCTTTTACAGACTCACAATATCTCATTGAACTTCAGAAAAACTTCATGAAACACGTACAAAAAAGGAAAATAGACATTTTGAATTTTGCAGAGACACAACCAGCTAAGATCATTCGAAATACGACCATTGTTTCAGTTGATTCTGCAGGTATGGCTTGCTAGATTTTACTTAGTTTTTATTCTTAAAATTTTAACGTCCAATGTCAGTAAGGTTTACAACTTGTTCTCGAAAAAATTCCAAAAAGTCCTAGCTATGCATTCCATATTTCATCTCTTTCTTGAATGAATTGCTTCGTGTATGTAGTGGACAAAATGACTCTTTTTCTTGATCAGATGAAACTTTTCTTAATCAATAGAGGGGTGGTGTTGGAAATATTTTTTTCCACCTAGACATTGGCATTGGTGAATTTGTACCGCTTCTAGTGGACCATATTAACGTGTGTAAACCGTGCAGTCGTTCTGATCCAGCTTATACTAAATCAGTGAGTTTCATCAAACATGTCATTCTCCACGATCATATTGACGACTACATACCAGTCCTTTTGTTTTAAAAGAAACCGAAGGGACCGTTTATAAGGTATGCGATGATAAGTTTTCTTACAATTGATAAACATTGTGTTGAATGTGACGTCACTGATGCCTCCCAAAAACTCTCAGGCACCGAAAAACAGTGTGGTATTGAAAACATAGGGCAACCACTTGTGCTTACGTCTTCTAAAAAGTCTAAGTCACCGCGAGAAACAAGGTGTTGAATACGTAAGGCTCTCCGCTGGCGCTTTGGTCTTCTAAAAAGTCTCAGTCACCGAGAAACAATGCATTGAAAACGTAGGATACTCCGCTGGCGCTTATGTATGTCTACAAAAACTCTCAGTGTTAGAAGTTGAAATTGTCTCCCAACAGCTCTCCACCAATACATTAGCTATAATCTCGTTTGATATTTTACGTAACATGAAGTAATGTCAACTGATGTCGCGGGTGGCTTTTTTTAATGCTTGCTGTTGAGCCTGCTTTTAATAGTTAGTTGAATTTAAATAGAACATTGACAACTGAGTTAATTAAGCTTAAAACTTAAGATTGTATTGTGATTTAATTTCATGCACCACCAGTATAGAAAGTCCATCAATTACAGTCATGAAAATGCAACGTTAGAATAAAAAGTTTCAAAATTTATTATGTTTTAATTTCCGTAACTCTGTTACGATCTATTCCTCTTTGCCAAATGCAAGCATAATATTAAGGTCCAAATATCTGTTTAACTCTCCTCGTTCCTTCACTCTCTTCCTACGTTTATCATTTTGATATCACACGAACATGTATATTGCATGTTTTGATATTAAACGAACGTCATACGTATTACTTTATTACATACATTAATTTGTGACTGTTGAAAATGAGTAAATAATTTTCTTTAAATAATTTGTCGTAATATTTAGTTATTTTAATGCTTTGGGGAAATGCTTAATGTCAGTTTTATTGTATGTTTGTTATTGGCCATTAACTGCTTGGAATATTTCATGAAATTTGAACTCATTTATCGATGGTCTTCGTTTCGTGGAAAAATGGCAAAAACCATTCCTTTAAGACTGCTGCGTGACTTATCATATTGAGTAATAAGCTACTGAAATGAAAGCATACGCTGTGCTGCTGTTTCACCTGCTGTGCTGTTCTTCGAGGCATGTGGTTGCATGGAACATAAACACTCCTTGTATTTGACAACACGTGGTTTTTTTGTTCTTGCTTATCAACTTGGCGCCAAAGGTGGGGCACTTGTCTATTCAAAAATGAATAGCATTCGTCGTGTAATGCGTTTTATGAAAATATATTTGATTAGTGAGTAATGACCTTAATGTGTCGAGAATTCACAATTAGGGCCATTAGATAAATTTGGGTTTAATTATATATTTGGTTTATTATTTATGAAATATACATTTAGGACTAAGTATTACAAGTCATGAAAAAACTTTAACTGTACAAAAAGCAGTAGACCATTTGTAAAAAGTAAATATTATCTATTCTATACGTTTCGACAAATAGCTAGTACATATATTCATCATATGTAGTAAATGATCCTTTTAAAAACATGCATTTTGATATGTGTATATGTAAAACTTGTACTGAAGCATTGTTTTGAATTTCAGAGAATGAAAAATATGCCCCATTTTCATGCGCAGCTTTCGTACCCACAAGAGTAATCATTGTTTTAGGCTTTTTAGACTCACTTATCTTTTTTGTAAGTGCTTGCTGTGCTGTTAATTGCAAAGCAATTAGATGTGTAAATTTAAAAACACTGGGAATCGTACCACATGATTTGAAGTAAAAAAAAGACAAATATCCAACAGCTTCGCTCTGACGTGCTGTGCTTACTTAAGTTATGGGTGCATGTTTTTTTGTTTCAAATCACGAGTTATCATTTCTATTATGTGACTACAAACGTGTATTAGTTGGTTTGAAGAATGTAGTTCGTTGATGTTGAACATTGAAAAGTTAGTTATCTAATGGTAAATTTTTCACCAGTTTACAAATCTACGAATTATAAACGAAAAATATTCCGAACAACATCTCTGAGCCTGATAATGACTTTGAAATAAAGTGAAGCGTCTGCTTTGTTTAAAATTGAACTCAAGCTATCTTTGAATAGGCGTCGTAGGGTGTCTTCCTGTAACCGCGTTTTCCCATCAACATGATGTAGGAGTAATTGCATATCTGCGGTTTTCAATGTTAAAACTTACTGAGAGATAAGTGCATGTAGCTTGTTTTGTCTCAATTTTCTCAGGTATAATAGTTTGTATCGTTTCTATAACGAGGGGAATAGCTATAGCTACAAACGTCCAGTTAACTGTTGAGGATATCAATACTGAATGTAGATGTTTCATCTAAAATTATCTTTGCATGACCGTGCTTTACAAATGCATAACGTCAACAATTTAAGCATTTTTTATGATGTTCTATCAATAGATATGATTACTTTGCACATGATAAAATATGAATCTTATGTATACAAATGCATGAAAAGTAATGTGCCTAGTCAGTGATAACCAAATTAGCTAACTATACATAAGTAACTTGGGCTTTATAGCTATATGTACATTTTTAAATCAGGTATAAAAGTTAGGGTTTTATATTGTCGAAAAGAGTATTTGCAAAATCATGAGAAAGAGCTCTACCTGATGGTTTATAGAATCATACACAAGCTTAGGTACCCTGAGGTATTTTTTGTGGTCCATCCTTAACATAATTCAAGTACATTTATAATATCTTAATCTGTTTTGTCGTTCAGTTATACCTTGTGGTCGTAAATGGTTTAGAGTGGCCGTCCTGATACGTTTATATTTGCTTTATATAAACGTTAAAGAGTTATTGAATATTAATACTCTCCTATAAACAACAACTGCGTTCAATAATTATTTGCTCAATGGTTAAGTCAACTGTTTCCATGTTGGGAGCCTCAAGTGTGTTTCCGTTTGCCAAACACTAGTGGATATTGTAACTCTGTTTTTACCAGCTAGTCATGCACCCGTTACGTGATAACGATGAATAACATCTAAGAATTGGTTATCCGTTTCGCTGTACATTATGTATTTCCCTGCACATTGTGTGTATTATTATCTGTAAACTGTATTTTCTACGTGCACACACTAAGTGCGTCATAAAACGCTTTGTAAAATTGAATGGCTGTGGCACTTAAACGATAACAACGCCTATTCTATTGGATTCGGAATGCTGTATATTAATTATCAGTAAAGTGATGATTAGTGTTCTCTATATTAGGTGAGGCCTTTTACACGTGTGTTTTAAGTGCTTTGACCATATAATGGCTTTTATATTAGGCAACGAAATTACATAATTCCGCGTGCGATTGATTCATTGTGTTGTTGCTTGATATATGGTATCATACATACATAGCTTCGGTGGGTGAAATATTTCAAATAGAAAGTGTATAATAGTACTTTCATTTCTATAATGTAAAATAAGATTTGCGTTTCTCCATTTGACAATGACTATTTATGTTTTTGTTTCTTACTATATATAGCACTATTTTTTATTCGTATGTATGAATCTGTGTTTTGACGATTTACTTTGAGTAATACATCCTGACTGTCTGCATTTCTAGTCATATATAGCTACAACTGATAAACCCAACTCCATCTGCTGTTTTTTTCTGCATGCCACACCCCGAATTTCTGTTCTTGTCTTTCGTCAAGAGAGGGCAAACTGTCTTATTTTCTAACAGATGAGTGATGCGTTTGGTGAAAATCTGTTTTTCCGTTTAGAAATGTTTAATTTTTAAATTAGTGGTCATCGTGATTCATGGCAATGTTGTTTTTAGTATGTTGAACATGCATTGTTCTCAATGCAATTATTCGCTATGCGTGGTGTCTTGAAGAGATTTTAATTGTATAATTATTTTATAACTACTATAATTAATTAATAAAAGCATTTGGAATATCTCACGAAGTCGGTGTGAATTAGTTGTTTATATTCTGGTACAGCGTATTCTATCTAAATTTATCAGTTATTGTTCTTGTTTTGTTGTACGAAGACTATCTTTATATTGTCTAAATGCGAAGTACTTTATATTGAGTTTCGTGGGATATTAATCTGACTGTGCGTATCTGTCTGCGGCTTATACTTTAAACATGTTTTCTAAAAGGTTTTTGTTCGATTCTGCTCATTGTTTCAGTTTGTGACTCAACTGGTGTTATATTTTAGGAATAGTTGAAATAGCAAACGTTTAGCTTGTGGAATTTATACATTCCTTATATCATATATTAAGACGTATGACTGAAAATACTTATGTCTATTACTCAATAAACTGCTGCAATATTTTTATGTATATGATACACATTAGTCTTGGCCAAACCCATCAATATGAGAAATTTGTCATGACATTTCATATTTACATGATGAGCTTTTCATTACACATTGATTCCTTTCGTTTCAATGATTCTGCTCATTTTCAACTTGTATTTCCTTGCACATAACGCCAGTCATCAACACTCTTGAAGCACGCAATAAATAAAACCAAGTACTCATTTCCTGTGACAAATTGTTCCTCAAGTTTTTTATAACTGCTAATCTTTGCTAAAATTTACAAGGCAATTAAAAGACTGATAAAGACGGTGGAATGGCCTTAAGTCAAGGCGCTGACCTGTTGGGCTTTAAAATTTTTGGCATTTCGCTTGTCGCAAAACTTGTCTGTTTCGTGATAACGTGTGGCCTAATTCAATGACGAGCGAAATGCGCAATATTTTGCTTGAAATTGTGGAACATTAGCGCAGCATGATGACACCACAGTGTTTATGAGCAAAACATTTCCTTGTGTCGTGTTCCCAACTATTTCTACACCGCGGCGAGATGAATTCTCCAAAAAGTTTTCTAGTAACTTACTGGGTTTTACCTGAGTCGACTCCTTGCTTAAATGTAGTGTCTTATTTTAAATATTTTTGATTGTTTTGATCATCAACGCATAAAATAGTTATGTATCAGTATAATTTATCTGTCAGGCAACTTTATCATACGAATTATCATTGCAGCTTAATTGTTTGTTGTTTTAAATAGAACATTTAAAATGCTCCTTTATCAACACAACAATAGTCATAACATGAAATATTTCTATATATGTAGCTCAGATATGGAATGTGTATTGTTAGATGGTAATTTATTGTTAGATGAGTATTTTTTTAATGATAATATAAATTGTTTGTGATAATTTTATCTATTTACAAAATATGATGGCAACAAGGGTATTAGCTACAGCCCACGTATTTTACAATAAATAAATGAAACGAAAAAGCCTTTCACACAAACGTGGTGTTTCCTCTTCTTTCAGACAAATCTTCTGATATTACGGATATACAAAATGACTTAGGTCGGCAATTGGTGCTCTTACAGAAGTGCACATTAACCCAAAACCTGCAGTCATCGAATGATGATGCATAGTGGGGCAATTCAAGTTGATATAAGGTAAATGTCCTGGTGGAGAGTAAGTTAAAGGTGTGTGCATGCTGTGGGGATGACTTTTTGAACAGCTTACAGAGCATTTACTTAGTGTAGCCGATGGTGGAGGTGCCATCGGTACACTGGGGGGTAACATTAGTGGCTTCGCCACAAGTTTGTACTTTTCCATCTCTGCCTCGTGCAGTCTTTTCGCTTTTGCTCGACGGTTTTGAAACCATATCTTTACTTGAGTTTCGGTGAGGCTCAACGAGGAGGAAAACTCGGCGCGTTCTGCAATGGATAGGTATTGCTTTTGTCTGAATTTTCTTTCCAACGCTAGCAGTTGTGTTGTCGTGAAGGGAGTACGAGGCTTGCGGTTCGTCTTGTGTTTACGTAGCTGGCATTTAGCCGGACTGATTTGTGCTTGCAGTGCTGAAAAGTTCAATGGAACGTCCAGTTGGTTTATTCAAACGTTTCATTCGTTTTTCTCAAAATTTCTCAGACTTACTAGGCTAAAATTACTTGGGGTAGTAATTTATTTAATGATATTGTAAAATCAAATGTTTCTATTAATTTAGCACCCATATTCTTCTGTTCTTTAAGACCTTAATAAGTAAATAAGTACTAGCATGATTTATTTGCTTTGTGACATTCTTTCATTTCATTATAACCAAACATAAAAATAATCATAGCTTCTTGCAGATTAAAGTTATAGAATCTCTCAGTTTTGATTCCGCGTTTATGTACAAGTATTCTCGAAATTTTGCGCAAATTTATTGTATTTGATCAACAAATACCTTGTAGTCATATTTCCTTTTTCGGCGTTTGCAGTGTTTTCTAATCGTCTTGTTAATTGGCAATAATTATCTTAATTTTCAAGCATAACACTTAACGCACCCGGAATGATAGTTGTCTAGCAAAAGATTGTTTAATCACCGAGCTATTAATAAAAAGATTTTTTTCTACAAGGATTTTACCTATTTGTGGCATGATGCCTACGCGATCATTAAGGAGGAAACTGATGCAAAAAATGTCACGAGGCTCATGTAAGAATTAAAACTTATCTCAAGTGGTATTTATTGATTGAAAGTGTCAAATTTTGTCGGGATTTTGATTTTTGACTATCAAAAGTGTTATGATGGGTTAAAAATATGAATAGTTGAATACTTTAAGTGTTTCTTCCTCAAACGTTATACTGCCTAAGGGATGTTTGAATGATCGTGCATTGTATCATTTCTGTCGCTTCTTTTGATGTCTTGACTTTCATAATTTGCTTTGTTCAAGAAGAATGGGCCAATCATGCTCTTTCGTTCATTTTATAAACCAATCTAACATCTAATGCTTAGCAATAAAGTAGCTAAACGGTAGGTTAAGTCTCTCAATACTGAAAATGGGCAATGTTTGAAATACGATGACACACTATTGCTTCAACATTCTTTTTCATCTTAACCTTGACATGTACTTGTCACTGTGAAATTAAGGCAAATGCTTTTTTTTTAAATTACTTAAATATTTATACATAATAAACTGTTCTTCCTCTTTGTATAACACTGCGTGCTTGATGTTTGCTAAAGCAGAAAATTACGGCTCTAATTTGAGTGTTACCTTATACTAACTAAAATTGACATGTAATGGGTGTAAATCGTCGTTTAAACAATTTACTGCATGTTTCTTACATTCACGAAACAACATAAAAGAAAGCTTGATCTTTGTTAAAGTTTGGAATATTAATTGATGTCTGTATAGTTCCCACAAGAAAATTATCCATCGCGCATGATTTATTGAGATAAATTTAATGAGTAAGACATTCTGCATTTAAAGAATAATATCTCCTCGAGCAAGATCAAAAAGTGAAATGATTCAATTGACAAATCTTTAAACAAAGTGGGAATTAATAACGTCACAAGTTCACTCATAATGCTCGCTTTTCTCAAGCAACACTACCATTACTTTTATTCATTAGGATATCTATGGTTGCTACAAGTATCCACAAGTTCATTGGAGTTAGATTTTACGTGCAAAGGTCAATGCAATGATTGTATAAAGCAATGAACAATTATTTTAATTGCAGTTGAGCAATCTTTGAAAGAATGTTATCATTAACTAACATGAATGAATGCACAAGAAAGAAAATAGGGCCATCTTTTTATAAAGCATGCATTCTGAAACTCGCCTTTTTGTGTAAGTCAGTTGATATAGAATTTTAAGACTGTAGAAACTATAAGACTTTAGAAACTGTAAGACTTTAGTAAAACCACTGTTTTCATATGGCTGTTATTTGAGATTTAATTTCTGATACTTTATTTGATAGAGAGGTCATCTTCGTTTATTCATTAATATCATTTCTTACTTTATATTAAACATGCATGAATCATCTTATTGACAAATTGTTCAGACGCGCACTATGACCAACTTTTAAAGATAAATTTCTTTGTCAAGTACTTTGGTCTTTAGTATATTGCACTGTGATGTTCATAAGCTTGTCTATGTACGTTATGGACGTTCTCGCCGTTTAAGTGGTCAGACAGACGTGCATATGATTTGTTAATAACGTTAATTGAATTTCTCCGTGTGTATATGGACCTATTTCCTCATTTATTCCCACAAATTTTTTTCAAGATTTAACTACTTCTTTGATTTAATTTTGTCAAATATATTTTGGCATTGTATATTATGATTATTATCGAGTTTTCATCTTAAAATCCGTGTTTGAGCGTCATTGGTGTTTGTCGCTTTGCGTACATGCAGTTATTGGTGAACTAAGCATGCAGCCTCTTGTCACTCCATTTTGTCATTTATTAAAGGATTTATCATTTTTTCCTGTTGTTAAAGTATAATAGTGTATGAATCATCTTTCTTGTTCAGTGTGCCTGTTGCTTTCTCCTTACAATATAAACTTTTTACATTTATACCTCACTGTTTTATGGAATTTTGTTCAAGAACTATGTTGCTTTGCTATGTTATGACTTGTCCCCTAAACGACCACATTTAACAAAGTTGTTTGTCCGCATATTTTCTTTCTTTCTTGTGCATATCTGCCCACAAGCAACGGCCCACGATTTGTTTAGGGTTTTTTTTCTTGTACGAAGTAAAAGAAATCGTAAAAGTCCATGATATTAATAAAACACTGTTAACGGTTTGACTGAATGAGATTGCTCGCTGTATTGAGCGATCGCTCAAACATGTATTTAACAACCAACTGTAAAATTTCAACGTTTTTCGTCTAGATTGATAACTTACTAAGTGATTTAACTCGTGTAATACTTTATATATGCATAATAATAGAAGATGAGGTCCCAACATACTTACTAGCTGCATTATAACCAGGGGACGTGATCCAAGAGCTGAAATCATCTTTGATGAGCTGGTCCTCATAGTTGGCACGACAAATGACAGGTTCTCGGTGTGGATCGATCTCTACTTGAACTTTATTCCTGTTAGCATTGTTACTTTGTCGCAGTAAATTTTTCACGGAAAACTTATGCTCGGATTTCGACGATTGGATTTGCTGAGCTGTTGATGACAGTGTTGGTTTTGCCTGACTGCCGCTGGATTTTTGCAAACCACGATCGTACATTAACGACGTAACACTGAAAGGATGTGTTTGTGATAGCTGTGGATATGACGAGTCGTTTGGGCGGCCTTTCTCGCTCATCTTTGAAGTATTTCTTAGTTTTTATGCCCTCTCGTGTTTTGTCCAACCGAAGTCAGCTAAATTCAAAATCAATCTCTGGACTCCCGAAGAAACGCAACGAAGTGATACCTTGCCCGCTGCGACAGTAATCTTTGTTGCATTTGACGTAAGTTTCCTTTATAAGCAAGTTTACGGGGTGCCCCGGTAATTATGTGCCTTATCAGTCGAATTTGCTGTTGATAAACATGCTGTGACCGCGAACAAGTATCCAACACAATGCCTAAGTGATTGCCACTGTTCATTCAATAACTCATTTGGCCAAATGTCATTGCTTTGTCTCTTCGCCACGGATGGATAATACATCATCCTTGCGAACCTCAACTCGAGAAATCTTGAAATAGAGATTCTACTTTTGATAATGATTTGTTTCTGAACTATATCATTTCTACTTGAAGTGGTTTTATGTAGCTTTATGCTTGTTGCTGTTTGTATGACAGACAACATGCCATTCAAAAACAACCCAATCAGTTTTCCCTCGAGCAGAAACTAGTCTTATCTATAAATGGCACCACGATTTTTTCCAGCCCAGCTCTGCAAAGTAGATATTCCTGTCCGCTCATTTCTACAGAATCAATACTAACGAACGTAGTTTCAAAAGTAAATCAAAGAGTAAATGTCAATTTAACGTAATGAAAAGGAAAACAAATAAATGAAAACAACAGGGGTCCCTATAGAAAGGACTCTAAAGAGCCCACTTAGTTGTCTCATATACACATATGAATAGTGATGTGGAATGAATAATTACCGGAGTGGGTGGCATGGAGTATAGAGAAATATTTTTTACTGTAAACGCTGCGTCACTTGATGTTATAATGCTAAGATGATGATCAAGATGCGCAAAAGCGTCGTCAAGAGAGCGAGAACAGATTATAATATAAAACCAATTTGGTGTTTAATTTTGTTCAGAAGTTGCGTTATAAAAGCGCGATTCTAACCCCAGTTTTTTCCCGTAGAAATAATGATACTCAATTTTATAACAATTCACTACCCATCTATGAGTTGCTTTTGCAAATTATGTCTGCTCCACACTCGCTTCGAGATGTATGATTCCTACATTGTTCATTTTAGTGTTTGGTCCATAGTAGACCCAAGTTCTATTTTACGTTAGTAGCGCATGTCCAGAAGTTGTGCAGGCCTTAAAAGACTGTGTTTTATATTGACCATCGATATCTTGATCATTTTTAAAGATGTTCAATCAACGTTCCCTGTATTATTCATGTGATAAATTAATGTAGGCGTTAATGACCTCTTTTTCACGGCAAATGTGAATTAGCCATATTCGTGATTGCTTCTCGTCCCGTAATTGACTACTAATTGTCCAAAATGACTACATGAAGATACTCATCTAAATTGCTATTAATGGGTCCTAATGAAAAAAAGGATCTTTCGAATGCCATACAAATAGCAAGCAATTTTTGCCTATAATCGGTATTAGCGTTATTTTTCGATTTTATTCTTAGATAATTTTTCATATCTGCAATGTTTGGCTGCTGCATCATTCGATAGCATTTAATAACGGAAATGTTGTCAAGGAATATTGAGCTAAAGGCGCAGTATGAATTTTTGTTTGATGTTTTTCTCTTGGTATTTTTGGATTCTCGATAGCAATCATTCGACTAAACTCTTTGCATCTTTGTCAGATGATTTAGGTATTAAATTCAATATGTCTCATCAATGCGGATGTTAATCCTCCAAGGTCTAAGATTTCATGCTTTGAAACAAATATCTGATTCGTTTGAAGAAGTTTCTTGGTCGTTTCGTGGGTCATTTCAAAATGCAAGTCGATGAAATTAAATGTTGAAATCCACTAGTTGACGCGAAAAATGCTTGTCGCCATATTGATGTGTGTGACGTCATAATCTTGAAAAGTGTTGCAACTTTTAAGACGTTATTTTTCTACCTATCTTTCTACCACAATTTTTCTACCTATCTTTCATTGGAATAACCACATTAATACGTGTGAATTTAGGTAAAGAATCGCTTTCATACAATTCGTGTCATAAAAACATTATTGTCTGTCTACATTAGTCGAAGATTCAATTTATATTTGAAAATGTTATCGCTGATTTTATATCTCTTGAATGAATGATGGATTGCAGTCGGGCTACTTGAAACATCGTTGCATGAACACTTCAACGAAAATCAAACTATTTATTTTATCTTTATACAACTCAGCATATCCTCCGCAACCAGTACAGACAATTTTCGTGACGTGCATGTTTAGCAATGCATGCAAAGTACTTAGATGTTATACGAGTGATTACTCTTGCTAGATTAAAATGCTTTGAAACTGTTTTAAATATTTTATCATGTTTAATTTCTTATCGAATTCTTGCAAATTATTGGGTAAGTCGATTAAGCAAATTGCAGTAACGAGGCTTGCTAGACAAGAAGGCACGATGACGCTTACAATTATTTACATCATATATGTTGTAAGCTAACTGGGATTATTCTTGTGGATCTGTAAAAAAAGAGAACAGGTTTTTTCTTTTCACTAATCATCCCAGAACGATAAGGAACGCCTGAAACGATTTCGTAAAGATAATATGGATTTATATCTTTGTCAACATCATGCCAGCAAGCTAAAATGCAATTTACTGATAAGACAAATGCAAAATATGAATCAAATTTATCAGGGCAATTTGCGCTCAACGAAAACTACGCGGCAAGACCGCCTCAGTTTCATATATCAACTGAATGCATGCTTCATTACTTAGGCATAGTTTAGGAAACATCTGCCCTATTTTCTTTATCTTATGAATATCGGTAGAATGTTTTTGAAAAAACCAAATTGAAGAATAAGCGCAAAATTACTATTAAATATTTATCGAAAATATACGATGTAATGGACTTTGGTCGCCTTTGAAATACTTAAGTCGCGAAACTTCAAGTTAAGGTCTTTATACAATGATAAATTTATTATCTTCCCTGACTTCATTCCCGTCATTTGAATGTGTGTATTTTTCTCATCTTGTGTTAAATGACAAGGACAATGAATGTATTTACTGAAGACTATCAAATAAGGCAAAATTAAAGGACTCTGTCTTTTTATCGTGAAAGGTTTTTGTCTCTATTTAGACATTGTTTCGCATAGTCTTTTATTCCTTTACTAAGACAAGTATAGTTTGGTTGTGAACCAGCAATGAAAGGGCAATTTACTCTACCACGTTTCATGTAAGCAGTGTTAGTTCAATCTATTTGCTATGTACTCATGATTTATCAGACACAAACACACACACTTCACTTAAAGTACGTCTCGTTGACTTCATCCTATGCGTTACTTGGGTTTTATCCAAATAACGCAGGCAAGGTCAAGGTCATATAAAACGGCACATTACCATTCATAAACAAACATCGTGCGAAGCTCACCCAGAAGCATGCGAACAATGCCACACACTGTTTATCAAGCTAAGGAAATACTTTGTAGAGTAATAGATAAGCTAATTTATAGAAACAAAACAACGCCTGGCTTTTTGCCATGCCCCCTCTTTATATCTTGTATTGTAAATAAAGTTCTCAGATAAATTGGAACCGGAATTCAAACGAATCAGAGATAAGTGCACACCAAATAATCTGTCATTGGTGTTGGTGTTGACTTGCCGTTGTTCTACCTCTATTGGTTATTTTTTGTTTGAAACCAAAAGTTAGCATGCATTAGCATGGTTAGTGCATATTTTGACATCGTTGAATGTTACATTTAGTATTTGTCGCCAAGCTCTCGGGCGCGGTTTCGTGTTCTTCTAATTCAAAATAATTAATCGAAATTCTTACGAGGATTAGGAAGCTTAGGATGTGACATGATGAATTTTCGATCAATATTTCCAGGCGCTTTGAAAGCAATCAGATCAATGGCAATAGGATATTCTCAGACCCTCAAAAAGTTCTTATAGACAAAACAATTGAGGAAATTGGTCATTACAAAAAACCACAGCATGCCATTTAAGCTTTGTTGTAAATATAGAACGCAAATTTCCTGCATTAACGTTGAAAGCCTTTAAAGATCATGTTTGTCTCTATCCACTTCATTAATGAAAGGAGTTCAGGAAATTGTGATGAAAATATGGACCGTGTAATTAAATACAATGAAAATAACAATTTCACATTTTATTACGTGAGAAACTGTTGAGCTCATATGTCACCCTCTTTCTCTTCTCCGTCCCCACAATAAAATGTTTTTCTTCATGGACATCTTGTATCTGTTTTCACTCTTATCTTGCTGTTTATACCAACGGGTCTCTGGAAAGTTGTCGATAAGATATACACGCAAACAGGTTGTCAAGTGCAATGTATTCTATCCCAGCTCCTCACTTAAACTATTTTGTTAGCTCCATTTTCAAAATAGCAAAAGTGCAGCTCAAACTGATTACGTTGTGATGGAATCTTTCTTTTGTGTAGTTTGGTTCGATTTCATTCATTGTGTTATTCCTCTTTCAGTTGTGTTAACCTTCCAACCATCCTTGGAATTGTCCTTCTGGTTTTTAGTGCATGTAGCTTTGTGGATTCTTTCACCTTTCCATCGTCGCCTATCTTGTGGGTTGGGAAATTTCAGCGTTTTTTGAAAAAGTTTTTTGGGCATATGGTTTTGTGCATTGATACACCTTATCTATCATCACCCCGGAATGTTTGTACGCCTGCGCAAATCCTTCGTAATGTATAAGGTATTCAGTATATTTTTGTTTATCTTCGGAAACGAAATTCAAGACCAAAATGCCAACACCAAGATAATCAAACACTCTACTAAATTAAATATGCACTTTGTAGCTTAAATTTCCTGGAAAACGATGCATTTTACTTTAAATGCTTTTTGTGGTTTCCCGATATCTTTGCTAAGGAAACAGATAAACAAGAATTCGATGAATTAAAATTGATCTGTTTTTATTTGTTTTTCCAAGTGCTTCAGCTGACTCACATTCTCGTTTTTGCGTTTCGGAATACCTTCGTGATATTTTATCGATTTAAAGAAGGAATCTCACTTGTTCTTTTTCATAAATAAGTTATAGTCATAACCGACACCCTCCGTCGTCGTTTCACTTTTATGTGAGCAAATGCCACAAGCTTAGTAATCAAACTTCATCAAGGAAAGCCGCTGAAGTCGCGAAATTTCGATGCTTGAGGCAGTGTTGTCTTCGTAAGAAAAACTTAACATCATACGCTGATGACTGTTCTTTAAAAGGACAGTTTTGTCTACACAAGGGTACAACTTTACAGCTCGCTAATACCGATGGAACATTTTCAGGACGTGTATTTGTCGTCGATGTATGTGGTCGAGCCAAACAGACAAACCTACGCGAATATCGTTTTCTTTCTTCATGGACGAAAATATTTGAATATATTTCGTGTAAATTAATTTTATGGAATTAACTAAATTTCATAAAATACACGTTGTTATATTGTATATCTTAGTGCGTGCAGCGTAAGAATGCTCAAGATCCCTTCCGTATCTTGTGGGGCGGGTATTTCGTGGTCCAGCATTCCTTGTTTATTCTGTCCGATGTTGAATGAAATCCTAAAACTCTTATATCATTGCTGCTTAAAAAGTCCACAGCACTTCCTGATCATCAAAACTAAAGCACCTTTTTAAAATTATGCATTTTAAAAGGAACACGAAACAACCGTGCATTTCCAATTTCAACATTGAAACTCCTTTAACGTTTTGTGAAAATGAAATTGAAGACTTGGTGTTAAAAACTTATTTGAGATATGGAAGCTAAGTTTGTTTGGCATACTTTATATACGCAGACAAACACCACGCCGGTGTCTCAGTTGATTTGGACCCCCCCGGTCCCATTCCGCTAGCAGTACTCGACAACTTCTATCAGTCAAATTCAGTTCAAAGAACTGATATGCTGACCTATAACGCAAAGCGTTAATAGATGATGAACGTCTAAAGTTGACTGCTGCACGAAGCATTATAATGCTGTCCACTTCATAGTAGCTAATTTTGCAATGCATGTGTGAAAAATGTTTTTCCAAAAATCTAAAAAATTTAAACTGAACAAGCAGTGTAAGAAGAAATAATGCAATGATCTATTAACCAAAATGGTTGCTTATCAAACTTAAAGAGTACATGTGTATTCCTACATTTATAATTTTTTTTCTCGGAATTTTGAATAATCTTGCCATCATTACGAGTCGATAATTTGGTGTTAAAGTTCCTACTCTGCTAATCTTTCTAAATTTAACGAACACATTACATTAAGTAGCACGTTTGAGCTGTGGCAAGCAAAAAAGGTTGTGTAATAATATTCAATGATCTTCCAGCAAGCTTTTTCTTACTAATCAGCCATTTTTTTATCATATTCTAGACTTTGTGTTCTACATCTAATATTTCTGTATAACAGAACAGCAATTTACCAAACAATATTTTCATGATTTGTTACAAGTGTAAAGTTTTCGTCTAGCACGACATACCCGAACAATGGTAGTTAAGCACTCTGCATTCTGCTGATGCATAGTCGATTTGCATTCGATGCGCGTCAGAGAAGTGATAAAAACCAAACGCGTCGCTCCTTTGCATCTCGTCATGATACAAAACTTTTACAGCGACTTTCTTTGCCGTGATTGGTTGACAATCAGCTGCTTCTACCAATTGTCGACGCTTTGTCTTGTACCTGCGATTTTGAAACCAAATCTTCACTTGCGTTTCCGTGAGGTTCAACATCGCTGCCAGACTCGCGCGCTCCGGTCCCGAAAGATATTTTTGTTGGTTAAATCGTCGTTCGAGCTCATACACTTGCGTGTGTGTGAACGCAGCACGTGACCGCTTCTTGCTTACTTTTGCTGAGGTAGCTTGTGTAGTTTCTTCTTTCATTTCATTTGTCAAATCTTTTTTCTCGTTTTTGCTCAAAAAGCCTGAATGAAAACATATTGTAATGGGCAATGTCAGTCGTTGGCAGTTTGGCACGAGCAAAGTCGATTGAAAGAACACAAATCAATGTCTAATTTTAGTCTTGATAATCTTTACAGCAATTCAAAATTGCATACTATGTTATTCTCAAAAACCTCCGTTACCAAGAAATATGCATAATTAAAACTTCAAGAAAGTTTTCACCCGTACGACTTTGGTGGTCTTTACTCAAAGCACTTTCATCGAGGAAATTACAGTTAATGAAATGTCATCCCAAATGCTTCACGATACTAAAATTCTTGTTCAACTCTGTTGAAAGTTACATTATGCCACGATCATGAAACTATCATACTGATAAGTTAGATTTAAACTGGTAGCTAAATATCTGGTTTACACAGCTGCATGGGAGATTGATCGGTAGCTTGAAATGCGGTAATCAATATTATAGATAAGGTCTATCCTGTTGTTGTATAGATATACGTTTGAGTGGCACGATTTGTCAAGAATATTGTTAAACATAAAAAAACATCTGTTTGTGAAGGCTGGATGGTTGCTTTTGTTGATGATCTTAAGGCTGCAATGTAGACTATCCACTTTCCATCATCATGGCAGTAGATCAACAGATATTGTAAAACATTCTACATGCATGATCTTAAAATATACAGGGTAGTATAATTAGAGAAAATTATGTCGTGTATTTCACAAGAGGTGATCTCTTTTAGAACAAAATTAACAGCGTGCTATATCGATGTTGTATATAGTTCAATGATTGTTCTGTTGCTCATGTAATGTCGTTAAGTATGTCTAACATTCTACCTATTAGGCGTGTTACGTGTTTTTTTTTCAAGATCACGTATTGGTATGAATACATGGTTGCAGTTGGACTTTTCTCTCGCAGGACTTTTTTACATTATAGTCAAGATTTGTTTTGGTTGTAATTTGCAACCAAAGACCCCATATGTACAACTGTATTTGTACATTTGTAGCTGTCGTTTACTGAATAGTGTGTTTTCTAGGTGTTGTTATGTTTAAGAATTTGAGCCATTCTATAGTTACGTTTCACTATGTTCGATTTGCGTGCATTTTGACGATGCTTAAACCCTCCTTAGTTTACGTGAATAATCTTCGTAAATAATCACTACACTTTACTTGATGAAACGTCAGCTTATAACACTCTGATGACATATTTTGTTCATTTTCACAGATATTTATGTAAGGGGATGTGCCACGAGATAATCTTTACTGTTTTCCGCAAAAAAGTCTACAGGCCAAAATATCAAGTGGGAGCTTACTGCGATGTCTAAAGATAGGAATCGTATGTGAATTGTGGTGTCAACTTTTGTATGTTATCTTAGCATCCAGTGTGTTTGATTGCTGTGTTTTCTTAAGAACCCTTAACTATGTCCTTCCTGCGCCATCTCATTTTTCTAATAGCATGGATGGCATGTAATACAGACTCCGAATTTTTGGATTTATCATTTCTAAGAAAAAACGTGCGCTCTCTTATTCTTGGCGCGTACTCTCACTCCAGTGATTGATATACAAACTGAAGAAGTATCTTGTCACGTTTCTAAGTGCTGAGATTAGGATGACGTATGTTTTTCATGAAAATGTTATTTTTGCTGCACTAAATGAATTATCTTTAATTTTGTAGTTCATCTCTCTGCAATTTTATGTGCGTTTTTAAAATTCAGCCTTTTAATCCCGAGACAAATTTATCATTGATATTGGATGAACCTTGTTTTTGAGTCCATTTAAGTGAGTCGAAAACCACGAAATTATATTTGAGAAACAGAAAAACACACAGCTAAGTGAGCTAACAAGTAAAGTTTGTAATCAGTCATCTGTAGCTGTTCTTGTCAGCAAACAAAGGCGAGGATATATGAATCATCGCAGGATAACTTTGTTTAACTCACCTGTTTCTATATGAGGCTTAAGGTCACTTCTTTTTCCGTCTATGTCTCGGTTGTCATCTTCAAACAAGTGTTTCAATTTCATCTTGCTTTCCTCATCTTCAGTTTGCTCATTAAAAACATCACGATTAAAGGCAGTGTGTTGAAAAAAATTTGGCAAATGAAATTTATCATTTGACAATGAGGTATTGCTCGCGTACGAGAAGATTTTTGAACTGTCTGCGGTGGTACGAGGCGCGTTCTTCAGCGTTAAAATATCTTTGATAAAGAAAGATGTAACTTTATGATCATTACCGTTGCCGTTACAACTCATTGTTGCGTCTGCTTTTCAACTCTTTGTTCTTTGTTTGCGATTGAAAACTCTTGAATCAGTCGTCGTTTGCGTTTCACTCTTAACTGTATCTGACACAATTTTTTATTTTCCGTTTATGATAACACTCCTGGAGAACTCCAATATTTTAAAGCTTATTCAATGTAAGGCTTGTTCCTTTTTTTAATAATTTACTCCTTTAATATGTACGTCCATTGAACTGCTGTCACAAACTTCTTGTTCACTTCGTTTTATCGTTTTGTGCTGCAGGATTTCACTTTGGTAGCCTGTAGTTTTTGCGCTCTCGTTGATGCGTTGATGAGCGTCTAGGTAATGAGACGAGTTGTTAACGAATGGTTCTCACTCCAATGCAATCCTTCAATAAAACAATACTGAACATCAGCGCGATAGACTAACGTTTATGAGTAGAGAAATTCTTTGTTTTATCGAAGTGCTCGCTCCTATTCTTGCGGTGAATTTTTAAGGCGCGAGCTGCTCGGTGTTTCATACGATTACACTTCACACTTGAATGTGTTGCGTCTTTAAGTGGACAATGCTTTGCTGTCATTGGCCAGATTGGTATGCCGACACTTAGAAAATGTTGTTGAGTGAGTGGTAGCGTTGATTTGCTGCCAAAAGTGCACTTACACTCTTTCTGCTGACAGCTTACAGTGAACGCGCTGACACTTGGCAATTAGGCGAAAACTAGGTATTCATTAAAGATATGGCTTTTGTATTTGATCTCTAAGTGAGCATAGATGTGAGTATGGGCACCGGATAGCGCATGTTTATTTAGGCAACGATGTTTTTCTTGCCCGTAGAAAGAACGACATATATTCGATATTATATGACACTTGTTTGTCATGTCAGACTGTTGAATGGATCAAGTTGAAGAGCTTTTTAAGAGGCTGAATAACTTTCCTTCGTTGGATATACTTCCGACTGACAAAAGAATAAACGCTGTGAAAAGTCGCAGCGTTTATTCTTTTGTCAGTCGGAAAGTTATAGGGGATGTAATATGTTTTGTTATTTCTGTAATATATCCTTCTGTAAAGGACTTCTTGATCTTGCAGTGAAAAGCTTGACTATGTTTTTTGCTGAAACGAAATTTCAACATTAGGTGTGTGCAACAGAGGCATGTATACATTATCAACAAGGCGACATGCAAATGTAACCAGGGAGTGAAATGTTGTGCAATACGCATATCCTTTAGTAAATGATTACTTGATCCTAAAGTGAAGAACTTTAAGTGTGTTATTAGACGAACATTTGAGGAAACACGGTCAAGACAAACACTCTCAAACAATTCTCGACTAAAATCTCGCTAAAGGCAATTATATTTCAGCATAAAAGTGACTTAATTATACTTTTGTTCGAATATTTTTCCCATATTTCTCTCGATTTCCCAAATTGCCTTATATGTCCATTACTGCTGTAACTACTTGCTTTAGTCAGGATGTTTTAAGAAGTACGCCCACTATAGGTAGCAACACTTTGGAATCACGTTGCGGCGCCTCGGTAACCATGAATGATAATGTTGTGGTTACTTCCGAGTTTTGTGTCGTTTCCGGGTCGTCCGCAGCTTATTTATTTATCCGACGACACCTGTTATTTTGTCGGCTCTCTCTCTCGAGAACATTCATATATCGCTGAAAACTTTCAAACTTTTAAATTTAAAAATGCTTTTGGGTTTATCTTTCTGGTGTGGCGCTTTGTGCTTTGTTAATGTGCTGTGGTGGAGTGAAGCAATGGATTGCCAAGGAACTGCAAGATATAGGCTAACATTCTTAGCCGAATGGACGAGTCAAAATCATAGAGACTTTCCATCTTGTTGCTTTCCTCATTTCTCAGATCTTATCGGCTGTAGTCACAATGCTTCTTATGTGATGTGGACTCCGGGTATATTAGCAACTCCTGGTGTTCAAAATGTTGCTGAATTAGGTAAATATATAAATATATTGTTTGTATTAAATCATGCATGTGTAGTCCAGTAGTTTTCGGCAAACGTTTTTGTATGTTTACAAGACACCTATAAAAGTATCCCAATACATCAATATAGCTTTTGCTGCTTTTAATATATAAAATCTAATGCCGTTGGTTTGAGGTTGCCATTGTTTGTAATGTACGATATTGTCGTGGCTATTATACATTTAGAAAACAAAATGTCTGTTACCGGACGAGGAAATCATGTAAAAATGATACTTCCTCTTTGAACACTGGTTATCTATCTAAGAGTTTGGATCGTTGGATCAATATGAGGATATGGTTTTACATGTATCACAAAAAACAAAACCCTTGTAAATGGTCATAAAACTTCCCGGGGCTAGTTTGCCACTGATTATGTATAAATTTTGTAAATGAATTACTCTTCTTAGGTAGAACTCTTGCACTTGAAAGGGAACTCGACGTTCAAATACAAAAAAAGAACGTACACCGACGATATACTGGTGGTGGAATAAACCGTGGAACTGGGTCTGTATCCATCAACAACATTGAAGTTACTTCAAATTATTCATTGGTATCCTTCATTTCCATGATAGCGCCATCACCTGACTGGTTCGTTGGTGTTCATGATTTTGATTTGTGTAATGAAACAAGTGGACGTTGGCTCAACTCCAGAGCGAGAGATTTACCGCTTTACGACTCAGGCACGGATAGTGGAGCACGTTTCACAAGCGGCGACAATATCACAAGTCCTCCAGTAAAAATTCATTTGCTTACCAACAATACCGAAGGTTCTTTAAAAGGTGATACGCCTGTAAAGAGATTTGGTACTTTTACCTTCGTCAAGACTTTCGACTCTTTTCCATCCATCAAACAAACTCCCACATCAAACATACCAACTATAAGCACCACTAACTTTGCACATTCTTTTCAACACCTTGAGCTCATTAATGTTATTGTCCTTAGTGCCACATTCGTCGTTTCGTTTGTATGAAGAACTTGGACTTTGATTTTGAACTTTTGCTACTTGCCCATTTCTCTTGTAGGATACGGGCAAATTGCAGATAAAAAAATACCTTATTTAAATTTTTAAAGGCCTGCAAGTATAAAACGTTTCTTCGTTTGTGGTGGAACACCAAGAATTGTTTCTTCAAAGTTATTTTACTAGCTAGTTATCTTTACAAAAAAGAATGTGTACATTATCTAAGAGTTTAATAATTTTTACAAAACTTATTGGACTTCTTTATCTATACAAGATTGTTTAAATAGGTGATTTAGGCAATCATGCATCTCCGTAGAAAAATCGTAAAAAAATCTGTGCAGTGTACGCCATTTTTATGCCGCTTTCAGCTACGGCATTATTTGCCTATGCGCATCCTTAGCTAACCCAGTTGATCAGTGGCATGAAAAAACCGATTTTAGCATCTACCTGCTAGCTACGCTGTACAAAACATGATTGACACAAACGATGAGACACCTGCAAAGCAACGTTAGTACCCGAGCCGAAAGGGAACCTATGAATGGGGAATTGCCTCCCTGGGCCCTTATACATTACCAAACGCCGTGCCAACCAATCCTTCTTGTGCCCAACACTCGATCACCTAGGTACCATCATGGCACCGTTTACGATTATTCCTACCTGGAACTACATAAAATGTATTGGATTAGTTCGGCTTGCTATCAAACATGAAAATGTTCGACTTGATTTTGAGACGAGCAAATCCAATACATCATAAAAAAATAATCAACTATCTTCCTGCTCTCTCATTTTTTCAAGTTAAATAATAGCGAGGTATTTAACTTGAACATGCCACTGTCATAACATTGATTTTGACAACTATTTAGCAAAAGCAATGCCGGGTGTAAAGCACTTATTCAGTTTCGTTTTTCTTTTCGCAAAAAAAAGACAGTTTTTGTTGTATATTTCTCTTGATGATGCAAATCACTCATTTTGTTTCAAAAATATTTTCAAAATGTTAACTTGTTTTTCTTTATTTTCCATTGCTTGATGATTACTTCAGGTTTTGCATGGTTCAAAATTTAAAAAATTGTAACAAAACATTAAAAATGCTGAAGAAGCATCATCAAGCAAAAATATTTCATGCGTTTATTATTTTAAATATAATCAATTTCCGCTATGCAGCTTGTATGCTGGATTGCAACGTGTTTCGGACCGCCATTTTTTTCTATTTTAACGTGGAATCTGGTGTTCGGATCGCGTTATGTTTTGACCGTAATTTTCTCGTTAATTTTACCATGTGATCTGCAGTTTTTGTGCAAACGTAGCGCTTTACTTTATGCAATTACGGAAATTATGAATATTATAATTAAATATAAAAATTTTTAAATTGTAAGGACTAATACACACGACCTAAGCTCATAGAAACCCATGCTTATTTCCTTGAACCTAGGATCGTGTATCCTGGTGATCAAAAGAACGAAAAACTCATGAAAAACGACATCAGACATTCGCGATGTCAGACTTGTTTACCGTTTTGGTTGTTTCTAAAACCTTGTACAATGAGAATCTTACATTACACTACAGTTAGATTAAAGCTTTCGGCAATATAATTTGTATCATCATTTGCAGGCTAATGTTTTGACCGCAAAAACAGCACTGCATCATGCACAAAACTGAAAACAAAAACACACGAACAGGAATCAAAAGAACAACTAACTTTTTTGTTCTATAACTCAGCCAAGTTCGATCATCTCCCTGTTCGTGCAGATCACCAGGATTTCAATTAAAAATTACAAACCTGAAACGTCGTTTCAGTTCTTTATTCGTAGATTAACGTAATCCTCCGATTAGCCCAAGATTAGTTTGACAAAATCCACGACAACGATGATAATACACGACAGCTGTGAGTTAACCTACGATGACTATGATTGTGATCAACAACAACGATGTAATCCACGACAAACATGATGTCTTATATGAATCATAATGCACCACCATTGTATTCTTTCTTCACTAAACTTTAGTTTTCCATGTAGCTAATTATTTTAGTTTTTACAACAATGTCTTGATTTTTTAACCACTATAAAGCCAATGTTTTATTATGTTTTCTGTCTTGATTTTGAAGTCAGCAAGTTTTAACAGTAAGCCAATGTTTAATTATTTTCTTCTTGGTGTTGATCACAAGGACATTAGACCATTGCTAATGAAGCGTCGTCATCAGTCTTCATTCGTATATGCATGTAATCTTCAACCCAAAACTAGTTTGACAAAAACTGTATGACAACCACAATGAAGTCCGCGACAGCCACGATGTATTCCACGACAGCCACGATAAAATCCACGACAGCCACGATAAAATCCACGACAGACAAGATGAAATCCACAACACTACAAACGTGCCGTAATTGAAAATTGAAATGTACCACCATTGTATCATTGTTTTGCTCCTAAAAAATTAGGCTAAAAAGATTAGAAATTGCACGAAAGTCTTTCAAACTGGCAAAAAATAGCGAGAAAGCCTCTTAAAAAAATTGATAAATAGCGACAAAACCTCTTAAAAAATTGTCGATTGCTTTTTTCCAAATTGCCTAGCTAAAGACTTAAAGATAAAAAAAACTACAAAGATACAATATTTCAAATTGTTTTCAAGAATTTGGCAAAAGTTAAACATTGAGCAATTTTTATTCATGATCATTGTCCACTCATCATGTAACCAGCTTTGCAGAATATGCATGTAATGGTCAGCAAAAAATATTTACGAGAAAACATGAATACCTGTAGATTCGTCGTCATACGCAACCAACTGCTTCTCCTACACGTTTAGCAGTGGTAAAGGTGGTTCGGTTTTTGAAGGGAAATTCACTGAAATTAAGAGTTATCAAAACATTATTACATTCATGCAGCTGAAACGACCACTTTTTGCTAACCAACAATAACCACTTACCAAACTAAACTACGTTTATTGGTGTTTGGATGGATGATTTGTTTCACTTTGAGTTTATAGTTCATCATAGCTTCTTTTGAAAACTTTCTACGACGTCATCACCATGATTAAGTTTAATATTTGCATCGTGGAGCAAAACAAACCACAGTGGGACAAAGCACAACAGCTTGTGACAAATGTATGCTTTTTGCTGAAATTCAGGTGGTACATTGACAATTAAGTAAGTTTTGAAGTCGATGTCCGTGCATCGTTTAATTTTCATCTTACCTGATATCCATCCTATACCTTGCGTCAACTGCAGCATCTTTGGAGATTTACTTATGCACACTTGGTCGAAAATCATGTGCCAGTCAAAAACAACAGAACAAAAAAACTTTTGACAATAGCTACGTTATATATATCTTAGTCTGAATTAAGTTGGTCAATAGCTTACTGAGTTAAGGTCAGTTACATGAAACGATTAAGTCATGTGACTCATAATAATAACTAAATCTCGCTCTCATGAACTCTTTCAATACGTTTGTTCGTTCTACACAAGTGATCAAGTGTACCGTGTTCTTGAATTCTCTTTCTTGTCAAATAGCAAACTTGTGGTGACCTCTTCCAAATATTGCTAACTCTTGCGAGGTTTTTGTTACTGTTCTGGACGTCTTGCAGACATTTTATTTAGATTCTTTTAACGTTTTGTTTCATAGAGAATATTTCTAACAATACTTTTACTTTGTTCTCTGAGTAATCAGTAATTAAAGGAATAGTAGGCAAATGAAGACTTCAAGTTACTGATGCATGTATAAGAAAAAAAATTATTTTTTGTTTCATAAATTTCATCCAATGAATGTTTCTTTTGTTATTTTATAAATTTTGAAGAAGGAAGTCGTATAGACTCCTGATCGTTCGTTCACAACAAATACTTGATTTGTATTTACTACAATTACCCTGAACTCAGCAGCATTTAGTTGAAAACTTATGTACAAAACATTTGCTTTTGTTTTACCATTAAATATCTTCCAGTGAATACTTCTTTTGATATTTTATACATTTCAAAAGAAGGAAGTCTTATAGACTTCTTCATATGCCCATTGAATCGATTTCTAATACATCGCTCACAATTAAAAATTGTGGGTTTTTTTTACATATTTAATCAAAATCGTAAGTCAATGAAACGTTCATAGTCCAGTATGGCAAGTACAACATGTACACATATTAACTTTTTTGAAAGAGTAGATTTCTTCCAGTGAATGTTTCTTTGGATATTTATACCTTTCAAACATATGAAATCTTATAGATTTCTTTATAAGCCACTGATAGTTGTTCACAAAAATTATTTTGCCTGACTTACTTAATCAAAATAATAGGCAAATGAAAAACTCAAGCTGCCATTATGGCATAAAGAACATGCACGTATACCGTTAGTTTCATGAGAAGATTTTTTCAGTGGGTGTTTCTTTTGATATTTTATACATTTCTAATGTAGGAAGTCTTATGTATAGACATCTTTATATGCCATTGAACGTCCATTTCATGTAAATCGTTCACAACAATTGTATTAATTCATTGCCCAATATTTCCTACCCAGAATTTAGCTGCTTTTTGTTTTAAAAGGTACTCATGTACTTGTAGCATAATATGAAGATAATGATTGTGTAATTAAAATAATAAGACAATTTTTGAATGTGTGCACAAGTAAATCTATAAAAATACTCTCAGTCTGATTGTCTCTTTCATTAGAATATCCTACGAATTCAGATTAGACGAAATGAATTTCTATGTTTTCACCCATCTGACGTTGTAGATATAGTAAGAAAAAATTTAAAAAATAGGCAATCAATGAAAGTTTAAAAAACGACGTATAATTTTGAGTCTTCTACCTTACTTCTCTTTAGTTTCCATCCAATTCTTTCCATAACTATTCCTTTTATCTTTGTTTCAAATTTCCACTTTTGGATACAACTTCGGTTGCATTCTTCATAATTGCTTATAGTCGAATTTCAAAAGAAAATTTGCATTTTTTCCTAGATAATTTTAACACGTTTATTAGCAAAATGCCGAAAAAATAGTCAATAGCTTTTCAATGACAACCTTTCGGAATTGTAATCAAGTAGTGTAGCTAAAATTACTATCTCTCATTGGTGTTTGATCAAAAACCTTTCTCGTGGACTGAAATTGCTATCATTCAAACTTATTCAATTGAAGAGCCTGTAGCGTTCCAAACACTTTAAGGCTTATTCCTTTAAATTCATTTATTCCAAGGTGAAAGTCATGGTAAAAGTTTTTGCCGGTACCCCACTCCACTCAAAGATTTTGAGAATTTTTTGGTCAAAACTTTGTTTTTACAATTAAGCTTGTCAGTTTTGGCATAATTCATGCCCAGTGCTCTTCATTTTCACGCGGAACAAAAAAGGCGCCAATTTAATTCCAAGTCCAACGTTCAACATGAACCAACATTTTCATATTTTTCAAATATCTTCGAAACTTTCGTTCAAAAGAACACTTTTTACCGAGAAAAATCAACCCAAGAAATAAGAAATACCCTGCTTATATCTCATTTTGCAATACTACAACTTTTCACCAAGAATTAATCCATATTTTTGCGTTGAACGGAGAAACATTTGGTCGCGCAAGTTTGTTGCTGAAAATATATTGATGCACAAATACACGCAAAAAGTCAAAATATTCAACAAAATTTCACTTTAAAACCTTTCAAACACTAGCAGTAAACAACACACTAGAGTAAAATCGAAAAAAAAGACATTCAAAACATACAACCTTGTTCGGTTTTTATACTGACAAGTGACAAGGTCTTCTTGCGAAGCAAACACACCGGCAAAGACAAGGAGTTAACCGCCAAATTACACAAAAATAATCGAGGAAAAGATTTACAGACGAAACAATATGTAACCATGCGTCAAACAAGGCTTTTGCCATCGAATTTATCGACATTTCAAGCTCTTTTCTGAATAATTAAGAAAAAATTTAACGAACCTACCTTTCACCGTTTAACGTTCGAGTCTTGGTGCATCTAGCTGACTAGCTGCATTCTGCTGGTGACAAATATGATTGATGTGTATTAAGATGTTATGGTGGCCAGATTTCATTGGCTGATTTTGATAAGCCATAAGATTCTAGCGGTGTGATTGGTTACTTCTTTTTCGAGCTCTGATTGGCTAAAACATGATTGAGATGTACTCTGCTTTACTCTTTTTTCCACATCTTTCTTTGAAATAAAGACTTTTAAAAAGAAAAATTTTTCCTGTTTTTATCACAAGCAAATAAACTAGTTAGAGATTGTATAGACACAGTTAAATTTTTATTAGGCTTTTAAGAAATCCCTTATATTTGCTTTGAACATAATGATGAATCATTGGTACAACTGTACAGCTGTACAAATGATGTAAGTTTATTTTTTCCATATGAATGGATCTTCTCACTACGAAAAAATGTGGTGTATGTATATTCTGTTTACTTGAATATAAGAAAGACTAATCTTGCTAATGGCTTTTTGTATTCCCAAGTACTTAATGCCCAGAGTGAAATCATGTTAGTAATAACTGGGCAAATCACTTCATGTTTACATAGTTATAATAATATGTCTACTGATTTTTGTTATATAACAAATAATAACATGATTTCACTGCGGTGGTCTGGACATTCTTTCAATGCTTGACTCCCAGGCATTCCCGAGAATTCAACGAATCTCTCCGGACACTCCCGGGCATTCTCAATGAGAACCACGTGAGAAGAAGCCTTATTTTAAAAACAGTTTCAAAACATGGTGAAAATACGTAAAGCGAAAGGTAAAATATGGGCTAAAAGGCAGAGCTGCTCTTCAAATCCATCGATCAGCTCACACCGAGATGCTGCTAAACGTGGTTTTCGAGAAGAGGGTCAAGCTAGATCGAATCTCACCGTAGAAGCCATTGCAAGACACAATGAACACGATGATGACGAGGATGTTATCTTGGATGAGGTTGAGACGACGGGAAAGTCCGATGGCAATTTCAGTATCAGTGGTTTAACTGACTGCTCCAATTCGACATTTTCTATTGTTTTGAAAAGGTTTTGGCAGTCACCCGGCGCTAACCATAGAGAAGTAGGTTTAAGATCATCTATCTTTAAGACTGGGACCATTTTATGGAAAGAAAAGTGAGTGTCCAGCTCTGTGGTCCCTCTAAGAGTAATTTTTATGAATTGTGTGGTTAGATTATGTATTGCATAGGTGAACAAACATGTGCACAAAATTTTGGAATGTTTTGGAATGGTTTAATTATTATGTTTAACCATTCAAAGCTCATGTATTGAACCCCTAATTATGTCAATATAATCGTACAAAGTTTAGATGAATAAACCACATCTGCTTTTATTAGCGCATATTATTAATGATTGTCTACAATTTAATGAGGCTTTTCCAAATCCCATTTGTTAATTGCGTTTGATCTTTTAGATTTGTGCAGTTTTGGCTGCTGTCACTGAGGTAACTACAGAAAGATTTTTCTTCTTATTCTTGTAAGCGAGCATAGTTTTTTTATTTTAATATTAAGGTGATAAGGAAAAATAATGGCAAAGAAACAGAGACAGAATACTTTGCTGCCTTGGTATTTTCTTTTGAACTGTTGTATAATGATCAACACTTATGTGATTAATGATGTATAATTTTGTATATTAGATGACTGCCCTAGAGAAGACTGATGATGAAAGTTCTTTGTCAGCTATATCATTTCTTTTATCATTGGTGATAAAAAGGTGCAAATTATTTGCTTTAGGAAACACTTGAGAAAAACGACGATTTTTTTGAAAGCAAACATGTTTCGACATTATCAGAATGCCATCTTCAAAATAATGTCGAAACATGTTTGCTTTCAAAAAAATCATCGTTTTTCTCAAGTGTTTTTTAAAATTGCTGCTAATTAGAAATTATTTGCTTTAGGTTTTAATGAATTTATTCCTAATGTATGACAGCATATAATTTTCAAGTCATGTTGCTATGTTACTTTTCAGGGTTCCACGATCAATTTTGCAAGTAAAATTTTCAGCAGTTTGTCAAGCAGTTCTGACCATTTTGTCAGCCAAAGTAGATTCTGCATCCACAGCACTTTTGAAAAATGTAATGTTGTTTTGTAGTTTAAAATATTTATAAATTGATTGTCTGAATGCATTTCCTGACAGCACAATCTATTTTTTTCTCTTTTTCAGCTTCTCGCATGTTTGTCAACAGCTCTAAAAGCACAAGAAGCCACAGTTTGGTCTAACTCGTCAACTTTGAAGTCTTTTCAAGGATTACTGAGTTTTACAGTCCACTCAAAGCCCAAGGTTGAAAATTCTATTTTGTAGAATTTTCCCTTTTTCCATTTGCTTTATAATTAGTTTGTTTTAGGTGAGAAAGTGTGCACAAGAATCTGTTGCTTCTATAATCAATTACAATGATGAGAATGCTGAGTTTCACCCTGCTTGTTTGACTGCATCAAAATTCTGTATCCAAGAGCTGGAGCAATACAAAGGTTTTGCTGTTTAACTGTTGCCATTTGCTTATTAGTTATGAATTTTTGATTGTGCATTATGAAAAGTGCATAGATATATCATCTTACTGGGTCAGAACATTTGCTAGAAATAATGCTTTGCCTGAAAAATTTGACCAAATTGGAAACCTTCAATTACTCATATGCATGAATGAAACCCATTCCCTCCTAATTATCAAGCTGTGTATGGCACTGTAAGCCTTATTAAAACTTTAACCATAAAATTGTTATCCCAGGCTCGTCACAAGCAATTTCTGCTCTTCACATCCTTGGTCTATTGAAAAGCACAATTTCAAACTTTTCCAGCCAGGTACAACATTTAGCAAGTTGTTGTTATTGTTTTGAAATATCTACGGCCTACATACATATGTATTGTGAATGTTGTTATTGTTATTCCTGCATCAAATGTTTTATGTCATTTATGTGAACATGTTTTCTTTTTTTGTAGACAGTAAAAATGATTTGTGAGTCTTTGTTGAAGTTAATGACCATGGGGAATATTGTAAGTTACTCAATGAAGTATTTTTTTTGTCACAGGCAGATTTGCTAGGGGAAGGTGTAAGGGGGTTTCTTGATGGCATGCATTCTGTAGATTATTACTACAATATTACTATTGGTAGAGAATTGTACAATAAGACTGAGTAGGCACCAGTGTGACCATATATGAATAATTTATTATCAAAAATGTGTTAATATGTGTGTAATACTCCCCCCTGTTTTAAATGCTGTAATTATGTAAAGAAGGTGGGGCTGTCTAAGCTTGCCACAGGTGATCTGGTAATATAAATTAACAAATCCATCCACACTGGTAAGCACACCAATCCACCCCCCTCCTTAGATGATCTTCATCTCTCCTGTCCCATTAGGATTGATCTGCTCATGAGTTTTGTAATTCTTGCCATCCACGATCCTTGTTTCTTCAAAAGAAAGAGTTTTTTCTGTAATGATTTACAAAGCTAATACTTTATGAAGCTAATAATGCGAGCTGATTCTATTCATAGATGCTGTCAATGAACTGCATGCAAGTACTTTACAGATTGTTTCAAGATAAGCCTTCTACTTCAACTTTGAATGTCAAATTAAATGGACAGTTGATTAATGTGAGTTGTTACCTTTCAGTGTAATTTTCAACTGAACATTGCGATTATATTATATCTTTGACGTCTTTGATGAATTTTAGTGTGATAGAGCTAACAACGTGATCTTGTAATTGTTCCTGCCTAACACTTTATCTTTTTAACGTGACTTATTTCATTGTAATTTGCCAGGCTTTGTTTGACTACCAGCCAAATGCAGTTGATGAACAGCAAGCTGTTGCTTGGCTGACACTCATGGAAAAAGCTTACAGTAACTTTCAAAGGTGGATTGAAATGCAACTTTGCGATTTTATTCATTTTTGCGTTAAGTGGTTCCTTCTTTGATACAATATTTGATAAGTCGAGACCTAATTATTATGTACCATCTTGTACGAAAGGAAGATTACGTAGGTTGACTTATCATTTGTATAATAACCTAAACAAATTGATTGGACAATTGTTCTCCTTTCAATGGTGTCAGCAGTTGTAGTTGAAGTCATATCACTTTTGGATTAATGTTTAAGTCATATGAAGCAACTTCAAAGCTGAAAGAACGATTACATGTCTGTGTTATGTTATTCCAGGCTTGATCCCAGCTCGTGTGCTGACTCGTGTGTGAAACTTTTCGCTTCTTGCATGACATTTTTACTGTCACATCATTCTGTGGTCAAAAACACTGCTGGCACTACAATGAAGGTTTGTTCTACAATCTTAAGTCTTTTTGTGCTCATGGTTTCCCCTCATTTTAGAAACAGGGAAATCGTTTACGTCATTTCTTGTCCGTCTGTTATGAAAAGTTAACTTTCTAGCAATATTTTCATCGTGACGTACACGATATTTGTTTTCGATCAATATTCCGACTTTTCTTTTAAAGTTTCTTCTACAAGAATGTATTTCACCGATGTCACAACAACTCTGTTTGGGATTAGAGAGTAAAGATACATCAGTCTCTCCTGTTTTGGCAATACTGAAGTACGTGGAGTATGTTTTACTATATTTGCATTACTGTACCTTCATTTCATAATTATTTTTTTGGTATATGCGTATATACAGGAAAGTGCCATCCACATTTTCTCATAAATGTGGGGAAAAAACTACTTGTACGATGCAAAGTTTTTGTAATGATTTCAAATGAAAAGATTTCATTTTCTTATGGAAAACTTCGTTTTTTACGATGTCCGTTTAAGGATTCCCATTTTCTCAATGATTTCTTCGTATTCAGGTGTCTGGAGTCTGGTATAAAACTGAGATATCAAGGATCGTGGAGGATAATAATTGATGTTATCAGTAAATTTTTTGAAGTATATATACTTATTGATTGCTTATGGTCATGTATGCTGCTGTACGCTTTAATAAGTGATTGCGTTCTATGACTTTTCAGTTATTTGGCAAACTGTGTCCGGAAAGGTTGACAAAATGCTTGGTCTCCCTGTGTAATTTACATAACAGTCCAGGTATTCAATGTCGTCGAGAGCTGGAAAAGACGGTTGGAATGGCATTTCGAGTGATGGGACCGAAGTAAGTGCTTACTTTGATGTCTGTAAATGGCTGTTTGCTCTTGAAAACATAACCTTTTTTTTTCATCGGCATAAAATTTTGGCGATAAGTTTCAGCTTTGAATTTTCCAATGTCTTTGAATATTTAAAATTGCAGTATAAATTAATGCGATCTTTAGATTTGTCTTGCAAGTCGTTCCTTTGGATTTGGACAAAGACGCGTGAGTAAGACTTGAATTCTCTTGAGCAAATGATTCTCTGTCGCTAATTTGGGAACTCATGTATTTTTCTAAATTTTTGCTGTAATTCACACATGCAGAGTCTTTCGTTGATACTCACCCACACGAAATTGACATTTCTTTATTACTCATTCTGCTGTCATTCTTCGTCATTAGAAATATTTGCGAGTTTCCTCGTAGCTGGCTGCTGCCCGTTATGAGAGACCATATTCAAGAGACTGAAATGATTTTCTTTTTCAAAACATTCCTACCTCTTGCCGATTCTCTACGGGAAAAAGGTATATTTGTAACTATAAGCATTGTTTAGTTCAGATTCAGATTTCTTGAACTATTTTTCTCTTCCTGCATATTTGCTGTTTGAATGTCCATTGTATCTGGCTGTTAGAGTATCGTGTTTGTTTCGTCTTTTTTCATAGCGGAGAAACTCAAGGCAAACAAAAGTGATCTGGAGGCTAAAGTCTTTACAACATTAAGTTTGCAGGTATTTATCTGAACATTTGTTTAATTCCTGTGAGGCTTTTGCAGCTGTATATTTTGGGAGAAACTCCTTTTGTTGTAATTTTTTTGTAGATTTGGGATACTTTGCCATCGTTTTGTACGAAACCGACCGATTTACTGCAGGTCAAAGGATTTGTGTTTTATGAATAGATTGTCTTGTGTTGTACTTTCTTTTTTTTAAGAAAATTTTTTCATCATATACACACGATCACACAGCCTCACACATTTTACGTTGTTTTTTACAGAGTTTCAAGTCAGTAGCGAAAACCCTTGGGTCTTTATTGAATGAAAGAGATGATCTTCGAGGAAGAATATGTCAAGCTATTCGGCTGCTTGTATCAAGAAATCTAGACAATGGTACGAGCATGCGCACTTTCACCCGCTTAATATGCATTATTGATATTACGTATGATGAAATTTTCCTGCCACTTTACAATAGTATATGGTTCGAAGCGATTGATACCATTTCGCTTGACTGGTTTTCTTTTTTTGAAGTAAATGTTGTATTTTGTTTACTGCGAATCAACATTTGAATCTTTATATTTTCACAGAGGAGTACGTCAAAGAATTGTCAAGATATGCAAAGAACTATTTGCCGATATTGTTCAACCTTTATACAGCGTGTGAGGAGAAAAACGATTCAGTTTCCTTGCCTATTTTGGGAACTTTAAAGACCTATTTACAAATCACGGACAAGAAGGTATAGAGCAAACAAACTCTTTGTTTTTCTTCTTCTTTTTTGGGCTTGTCATCTCTGGGCTCGGTTGATGTTATCCGTTGATTCCTTTACCTTTGTCGTTTTATTTTAGCTGGTTGAACAGTTTTTCAAAAAAGCCTTCGACAGAGTGAAATCTACTGACACGCCCTCAGCTAAAAAGTATGTTCTCTCGAATGGCGAAATCTTTTTCTTACTTAATTGTGTTGTGTTTGTAGGCTTGTTTATTTCGTATAGTTGTGGGGCATATCATGTGTATTGTGTTATAGGCATATGCTGATGGACTTAATCATTGCAATGGTTCAATATCTGAACGATGAAGATCTTGAAGTCTTGTATGGGACAATAGAACAATGGCTTAAGGTACTTAGAAACCTAATACTTTAACTTCTGAACTTGATACCTTCGTATTTATGTGTTGTTATACGTACATCTACGTATATTTTAAATATCCAATAATATCTTGTCGAATATTTTTGTTTGAAAGGCTAAAGATTCAAAACTTCAAAAGAAATCGTACAGAATTTTGGAAGAGATTTGTTGTGCAGGATCCGCTGAAGAATACTTTCTTTCTCATGTTGAGGACATCCAAAAGGTCATGGAGGAAAGTTTAAACGTGGCCTCGTCAGTTTCCAAAGCGGTGAGTCTGCTTGACTTAAGATTTCTAAATGGTAGATTTCCTGTCTGAAGCATTCAAATCATCAAAACTCCCTTTATGACAGACCGATCATATCTTCGCTTATTTAGCCCCGACTTCGTTGTTTAATACAAATTGTTAAGAAAGTACAGCCGGGACAAGAAATGTTTCTCAATACAATTATCCCAGAGGTACATATATTTCCCCTTGTTCTTCCACTCTAAATCCATCATACCAATTGTGTTACCTGTGATGTACATTCGTTCTTTCTTCTCGATACCAGGTCATTCTCTCAACAAGAGAAGTCAACTCGAAGGCAAGGTCTGCATCTTTAAAACTGTTGGTTCAAATTGCTGAAACGTACATTCGTTGCTCACAGCAAAGTACCGAAGGTATGTCATATTGAACAGAACCATATTATATTCTATTGTCCATTCGATATTCAAGTAGTTGTATTAATTATGAAAGGACGATTACAGACAAATTGTATTTTCTAACGACACTGTTTTCCAGTTCTTGAATGTTTTCCATTCAAAATGTAATCTATTCAAAATGTATATATATTGAAATAAAGTGGTATCATATTTTCTACTCTGGATTATCCACTCCGAAACCTGCAATCCAAAACATTTAATTATTTTAGAGAAACTGATTGGTTTTAGTGTGCATTGAAATTGTTCACCCCCACCCTTACCCCGACCCATTTTTTGTTTATTTTGTCAAATTATTTTTGGTTTTCTTTTCCTTAGCTTGTATTGATACATTTTTGGGCACATTAGTCGCTGGGTTTGGAGGCTCGCCAAACATGGTCAGCGGTACTATCATCGCCATGTCAAAAATTCTATATGAATACAAAGGTTCGTAAGTCGTATTTCTATTTGCACTATTCATTGTTATGGAAACTTTGAACTTAGTTTTGTCTTGTTTACACTATTTTCGACTGTTTTGCTTTAGGTCGTTATACAGCGAAAGTTTTGAATCAGCTCATTGAAACCACAACTAATTTGTTACAATCAAACAAGCGAGAAATTGTGAAGTCAGCTCTCGGTTTCTTTATGGTGCGTCTAGTGCATTACCATTATGATGTATTGTGACTACATTTGAGCTATATGCGTATTTTATCAATAGTATTCTCACATTAAAAAACCTTAAATACAAAGGTGTTATTATCAAATAGTCGAGTAGATTTTTTTACCCATGCTTTATTTTAAAACTGAGAAGTCTGTATTGTAAATTTTTTTTGATGTTTTATCAAAGCTAATTACCGATGTGTTGCCCAGTAATAATAACTGCAATGCTTTCCGTAGGTCGCCCTACGTGTTACAAGTTCTGAAGAATTTTCACCCTACCTAAAAAACTTGGTCAGTATGACTGTGTGATGTGCTTTCCACTTCCAGGAATATCATCTTTGTTTTTGTATTGCTTTATTAAACTTATATCAAAAAGCTTCCTTTTCCTTCATGTTTTGCGTTCTGGTTTTGTGTACCTATGACTTGACACAACTCTGCTCAAACATCTTGTAAACTAATGTTCACTTCACAGGTCTCAGGTCTTGTAAATTGGAGCGATGAAAGCCGAAATAAGTTTCGTTTCAAAGCTCAAGTGTTGTTCGAACGACTCATTAGAAAATACGGGTAAGTTATAGTGTTTATACTCTGATGTAAATACGATGGACGGTATTCATACATCTTATTCAATGTATGTACCTATAACTGTATCAATCCTTATATTACATAGATATAAAGTCATTTATGATTTGGTTCCAGAAGAACATCGCAAATTCGTACGCAATATACATAAGCGAGTAGAAAGAGGAAAACGCAAGAAGGTGGAAGGTCATAGCCACAGCGAGTTATACGTAAGCGATTCCGTTTAAGAATTACTTTCGGGGATCTTCGATTGTGAAGTTTTCAAATGCTAAGTAGTGTGTACATTGTCGTTGTTTAGAAACTGAAGGAAAAGAGCGGTCATATTGATAGGTTTGTTGAAAACAACTTTAACTTAATTGTCGGTCCTGGTTTGTCCAAGATTTTTGTTTAATCTTTTGCGTACGCTGAATTGTCTTCATACATAATGAGATTTTCTTTAATCCAGTTATGAAGATCTAATGTTTGGGTCTGATGATGATGAAGATGATGCTGAAAACGATAAATCTTCACTGCATAAGGTATTTATTATTTGTTTTATTTTTAACACATTGACATAAAGGATAAATGGGGTGTATTGGCTGATTAGGCCCATCTTACTTTTTGCAGAATAAAAATTTAAAGAAAAAGTCAATCCCTAAAGCTTTTATACAAGAGAGCGAACCTGACGAACCGTTGGATTTACTCAGCTCCAACATTTCTCAGCATATAACAGGTGGTTTATCAATAATAGTTTGTTTTCGTATCCTACCCTCTGGCCGGACAATGACGTGTGTCTATTGATATTTATATGTGTTGAGATTGTGGCTTAGATCGTGCTTTGCAAAATGGTTTTAAGCAGATAATTTTTAAAGTAATTATTTGCTTGTAGCAACGGCACCATTGACGAGGCGCTCTAAAGATTCTGGATTTGAATTAACCGAAGATGGACGCTTGATTATTCCTGATGAAAATGAAACAAACACGAAGAAATCTGAAATTCCTTCAGGTTTGTTCTCGTGTCTATAAAGAATTGGTTGATTTATGCGTATATATATCGTCACTCACTTTTATCTGTTTGTGTAACAAATGTGTCATATAGTTATCCACATTACATTTTCATGGACAGTTTCATCATTTCATTGGTCACATGCATCTATTTCTGTAATCATTACGTCAATATACAGTGTAGACGCTATTCACAACATATTTTTCTTGACAGGTTCGTCCATTCTTCGTGAAGATATGGAATTGGAACCTTCTTCGGTATTGGTACGTACGTATGCTTCATTATACCACGAAAATGTGAACGTTACTTTTTTTGACGAACTTTTGTTTCGACTATGTTTACATATATGTCATTTTGTTACTCATTCCCCTTCGCGTTCTTGTATTTTCTTGGAAATACAAAGTTCGTGGCGGTTTTCTCGACAAAATTTGCATCGGTAACGTTTTCCTTTCTCGTTTGTATTACTCGGGAAAGTCACTAAATAAGGATAATCTCGTATACCTTTCATATTCTCCGGGCTGAAGATATTTCCCTCTGTTGAAGATCTTTCATTGCCCGACATCCAGTTGCCTGTTTCATGTCTCTTCTCTATAGTTTCTTCTTCTGGCACAAATGAAATTCCTCCTACCATCATTCTACATTTAACTGCTAGACTTCTTAAAATAAGGACAAACCTACTCATCCCTTGAAATGCTACCGTCAGACATACTGCTATGAAAATGGGACCAACTAGTGCTGCCATTAAATTTGTCATGGTGATTGCAAAAAATGTTCCCTCTATGACCACAAAAGTCAAAAGGAGTACGACTGTAAAACAAAGCAACGCGCCAAATGCAATAGTTAGCGGAATAAATCCAAGAGATAGCATTGCTGCCAGAAAAACTCTTGTTATTGGTCCTCTGTCCAGGAACTGTTTTAATCGTTGCTTCACGTACCATACGTTCATGTTTACTCGCGTTATAATAACTTTATCAGGTGCAAAAGATTTACCTGTAAATTAAGAATGCGTTCTTGTTTTTTCACTATTGACAATTGTCATTAAATACGTCATTTAATTATTGTGTGTGAGCTTCTGTTACCCTATATGGCATGTTTGCACGTTTTATTTCGTGGAAGATGATTGAAATCTTCATGTGTTGTTTTACTGTCTGTAAGTCTTGCATCAGACACCCATCATATTATCACTGATTAAGTTTACAATGTGTTCAAGAATATACCTTCGATTCGTGCGATTGTGCAGTAGAATTTTGTTTCTGCATTTGCACAAGAACTATGAATTATTAATTGCATTTTTACGATTCCATTACATCTTAGCAATATGGTTCTTTCCCGAATCTTTTGTTTGGTTATGTTTGATTTGGCTAATTTTCACTTTCAATGGCAGTTTTCTTTAAAAGATATTTGTACTGTTGATTTAATCCCTCTATAGGCGGACAAACGGAAGAGAGTTGTATCAGATGATGGAACAGAAGAAGCAGTAGTTGGTAAAAAGTCGAAATTTAACGAAGATTTTGGAGAAGAATATAGGGCCAAGGTATTTAATATCCTTTCTCGTAATTTTTAATTTCATTGCAATGTTATTGAAAACTTTGTTTTTGATTATAGAAAGCCGGTGGTGATATGAAGAAGAAAGGCAAACCAGATCCTTATGCTTACCTTCCTCTCAATACAAATGTCTTAAATAAAAGGTAAACGATGGAGATGTTCAAAAATCGTACTGTATGTACTTTGAGTTTCAATATTCAACATATATTTTTAGGAAACGGGCGAAACTTACAGGACAGTTTAAAGGAATTGTTAAAGGAGTGAAAAGAGGTTCTCAGAAATCGAAGAAATTTCAGAAAAGAAAATAAACTCGCATCTGTGTTTTAAAATCGTATGTGTTGGTTGGCTGGTGGTTCAAGTCCAACTAAGAAATCAATAAATTATTTCTACTATAGTATTTCACATATTACTGTGTTGAAAGGGTTTTTGGGTACGGTGTACATTTTTCGTCATTTGTTTACAATTCGATGAATTTAATAGGAGTACTTAAACTTCCAATAATTTCTGCTACTGGTCACGCAGTGTGTAGCTATTATTTGTTCCAAGTTTTCCGGGACGTCAGTTACGTCATACGATACTCACAATTTCTGATGGTTGACCGGTTTATCCGCCATATTGAATTTAGTCAAGGGAAAAAAGTGTTTTATCCCTTTACATCTGCCATCTTAACAACCATTATACGTTTTTATACTACGATTATTTAATCCTCGTTATTTTTACAATGTGGAAGATTCGTGAAATTCAAGATAAAGTGTAAGTAGCTCAATTCGTTGCATTTGTTTTTATTAGTTCCCCTATTTATGATTACACTTCCCTATCATGACTTAGGTGATGTGTCTTTTAACTAATAAAAAGTTTAATCCTAAATCCCTAGGACCAATATGGTCATGAATTATTCCGAAGTCGAATCGAAAGTAAGAGAAGCGACAAATGATGATACCTGGGGCCCTCACGGAACTTTAATGAGCGAAATTGCGAAGTACACTTACACGTACGAACACTTCCCCGAAGTCATGTCAATGCTTTGGAAAAGGATGCTTCTTGAACGAAAAAACTGGCGTAGGGCTTACAAGGTACTTAAAAAAACAACCGTTTCCTTTTGAAACTCTTATCAAGTACAAATTGTAACAATGTTGCTTTATTTAAATTCAAAGTTGAATGTTGACGTTTTTGTTTTGATGTTGTCTTAGTCGCTTTTACTACTTGCGTATTTAATACGCAATGGATCTGAAAGAGTTGTAACGAGCGCTAGGGATCATATTTACGACATGAGGCAGTTAGAGGACTATCAACACATCGATGAACACGGAAGAGACCAAGGCATAAATAGTGAGCATCTTTAAATTTCGCATTTTTTCTGTATTGTGATTTTACATTCTTTACATTCTACTAGTGTAGCAACTTTATACAGTAACCAAGCACGTTTTTTTTGTTTTTATATTAAACTCTGTAAAGTAGCCATGTTTGGTTGTGATTCCTAAATTTTTTTCATCAGACAACTAAATTATATCTGAAAGCTAGATTGTGTTGTCATCATGTAGCAAATTCCACTAATAATCAAAGTTGTGGGCCGGTCTTCAACAGCAGTGAAATTCATGCTTAAATTGTGTTCCAATTTTTTCTTATGCTGGAACCATGTTATAATTTATTTTGTTTTTGACGAATTTTAGTTCGGCATAAAGTAAAGGAATTAATCGAGATGGTCAATGATGATCAACGTTTAAGGGAGGAAAGGAAGAAAGCAAAGAAATCGAAAGACAAGTACAAGGGAGTTTCTAGTGAAGAAGTGTCTCGCAAATATGATTACAGTATGTTTGAACTGTAATCTTTAAATAATTTCATGGTATTATTTTTTAAGTGTGTCTTCATTTGCCTGTAGGTGATCGGTACAGTTCTGAACCAAAAAATTTTGATGATGCTTATGATGAATTTGAAGAAAGATCAACTCGTAAAAGCTCCATAAGAAAATTCAGAGAACGAGCATACTCATCGAATAATGAATATAGGGATGAAGTGTCAAGTAAAAGGTACGTATGTTCCTATGAATCATTGCTGAAATTAATATTTTTATGTTTCACTTGTTTCCAACCAAAAAATTACTGAATTTATCGAAACTACTAGGTGTATCAAAAAAACACCAACTCTTTAAAGTTACCCGTTGTTTAGAATTTGCATGACTCAGCAATGATTTATTCCTACGGAGCCTTAAATGCAATTGAATGCAATAACACATAGCAGCTTTTTCACATTGCCAATCTAATGCATGAAATTCCTTTCAATTGCACTTTTGGCTACTTGGCGGTGAATCGGGGCTGAACCATGAAAATTATAAACATCAAGTTATTTTATAGTGTTTGCAGTTTTTTATACATCCTCTTTATAAAATCTTCTTGAACCTAACTTTCTATGTGACTGTCTATAAAATGGCATTAAATTGTGTGATTGTTAGTAGAAAGTCTGTAACAACGCCATTTAAGACCAACATCAACTGCTTTACTGTTATGATCACGAAAGTACAGTATTAGTTAACACTACAATTACCATGGTTAAAAAAGGCCAATGTACCAATGCTGTTTCATTGGTATACTTAATGATGCATCACATTTTGATATTATTTTATACGGTATACTGTTAATGTGTATCTAGTTTTACTATGCAAAACTCCCACGAATAATTGAATTGTTTATGACAAAGCTTTAAATCTAATTTACCTACCTATAAGTACATATTTAACCTTAGTCTAGCTGCCATAAATTTGATTGGCTAGCTATATTACACGGTTAGTATTCGTGCAAACATGTTAAATGATGCACAATTTGTGATTTTAGGTTGCTTACTAAGCTGTATCACTACACTAATTTTTTTACTACCAAGTATATTCCGTTAAATTTATATATCAGCTGCCACTACACTAAATTTTACACTGAAAGTACCAAGGGCACTGTGGTGACTCCGCTCAGTTTAAATGGGGTTACTCGTTGTTTAAGCCACAATAAAAGATTTAAAATTTCGTGCATTAAATACATTTTGGAATTTGTTTTATGAATTTTTACCATTACGTATAAACACAGTGACGAGGAGGAGGGCGAGGATGCGCTCAAGCCAAAACAACCCATTCCTGCTAAGGAGGAAAGTCCTATTGTTAAAAAAACTGTTCGTAAAGTTAATCTCGGTGCTGCAGCCAATTACGGTCAGACGCAGAAGGAAACTCCTAAAGTTGAGGAGATGACTCTGAAGGAACAGGCACAAATGTCGCAAAATTCCGCTTCCAACGAACTTGTGGATTTGTTTTCTTCGTCGGAAATTCGACCGGTGGCCAGCAGCATTCCTCCATTTCAGTCTGCTCCTGGTCAAAATGCTGATGGATCGTTTGGAACTTTCGAATCGGCAAACAAACAGAACGGAAACGATTTTGCAGATTTTACAGCATTTTCTGAAGCAAAGTCTACTTCGGTTAATGATGATTTTGCAGAATTCAAATCCTCCGGTCATTCACAGCAATCAACTAAAAACAGCGATAATGTGGATCTTTTTCAAGATTTCACGTCTGCGTCAAGCTCAAATCAAGATCTTTTATCAAAGCCGACTGGAGTTTCCGGTAACCCTTCCCTTGGTTTTCAACAGACAAATCAACCGATGCAACCAATGGTAGGTCAAAATAAATTGTTGCCAGTTAGTAATCTGGCTAATAACCTTTCGGTGACTGGGTTTTTTTAACTTGGACTAAATTCTAATGTTATTTGACTTAAGGGTGTAGAGTTGTTAATTTGATCATTTGTTCATTATATTTACAATGACCGTGATTCTGCTTATCTTTGATCAAAATAGTATCTTGAATTTGCTTATGTAATATAAGGCGTTCAAAGTAATTATTATATTAAGTGTCAGTAGTGAAAACATTTGAATTCGTCTAGTATTTTCCTTTTAAAAAATACATTACCTTAGGAATAATTTAGAGAAATTATCACGCTTATGTCATCGTTGTTAGGTTAACTGAATCACGAATAGTAAGGTGAAGGTTATGTTTTAGACTATGTCAGCATCGATGCAGCCAGCCATGATGCCGGTGTCTTCAGATATGACATCAGGAATGATAAATCATCCTGGTAAAATGGGCAACATAATGAATGGTTCACCTATGATGCCAGGCAATCAAGGAGGATCTTTGATGAGCAGTGGGCAACAGCCTATGATGGGAGGTGCATATACATTCGGTAATCAACCAATGATGAGTGGAGGTCCAACTATGGTTGGCGGAAGTAACATGATGGGCGGAGCTTATACTATGAGTGGACAACCCATGATGGCAGGGACACCCATGATGGGTGGAGCAGGAATAATGGGTGCTCCCACAAATATGATGGGAGGAGTTCAATCTAATATGATGGGAGGGGCTCCTCCTAATATGATGGGTGGTTCTACGGCAATGAACTCGTCTTCATTGATGGGAAATGTGATGGCATCCTCTCAAGCTAATGTTATGCGAGCACAGTCAAATGTGCCAAAATCATCTGATTCAAAAGTTCAACAAGGAAAGTCTTCACAACAGGTGAGAAAAATGAAAAGACAAAATCAATCATCAGCTATTAATTTATCGTACAAATATGAAAATGTTATTTTCCTTTAGGTTTCAAGTACAAAATCTACCACTTGGTCCAACAGTGGTGTTGACATAAGTTTGGATAATTTAGCACCAATGTCCCATAAAGAAAAACCAGCACAACCAAGTATGAACCAGTTGTACATGCAAAATTCGCCTCAAATGACGTCACCGAACACCGCTTACTATGGCAACGGTGGCATGCAGCCAATGATGTACACTGGTAATCCTTTGGGGATGAATATGAACATGAGCGGTAAAGCCTTTAGGCAAATGAACATGTCGACACCCCCTAACATGATGAACAGGGGTATGATGGCACAGGGGGGTGCGATGAATATGCAACAACCAGGAATGGTCGGAGCTAATCAGAATTTTGGTAGAGTAATGCAATTCAAGTAATTTATAAACAATTAGACAAAATGATATTTTTCTCAATGATTTACATATGTGCCTTCGTTTATAACCAGCTACTAACGCAGGCGCGCAAGTAAAGAATAATGAAAATTGTGTGTTGATAATTGCACGAGATTTTTTCACAATACTTCATGTACATGAAGGTAGTTTTGACTTTGTATCGTACATCCATACGACTGTTTTTAATCCTAGGCCTGTTCTCTACAGTTGATTGGTTTTGTATATGTGACCGAATTCTGCTTGGCAGATTTGTTTAATACTAATAACGTGAAGGAAATGAATTAATAATTCGACAAAATTAAAAACAACAAATATTATGTATGGTGTGCGTACTTGATGTAAATTGAGCCATGTTATTAAAGGCGCAGAGTTTGTTTTTGTGAGACATTAGGACATTAATATAGCTTATTGTTCGTGTCGTTGCAATTCCCTTTGCCCATCTTATAACTTTCCTCTACACACTTTAACATTATTTTGACAAGAAGCTATATCATTTGGCCATTGTTTGATAAAATACACTTGATATATTAGGTTATGAGGTGTAGAAGTGAACAGTTGAGTTGTTTTTACAATGATTTAATACATCAGGGCCGAGATAAGAACAAAAATCATCAGATGAATACATTGTGATACGTGTTTGCAATTTATTTGTTTTGCACAAGAGTAAAGATAATGCCAGTATTTTGCATAGCGCATGGATAAAGGAGAGAAGGCAATTAACTTGCTGAATAAAAAGTAAGTCGATTGATAAGCCCCTTGCAAAAAAATCTCCTGCCAATGACATTACAATTATTAATTTTTAACATTTATAACATATTGAACATGGGATTTTTCAATGTAGTTATTATCCTTCTTTTACTTAAAGTGCATTTATATATAAATACAGTGGCCCGTATCTACTATTCACAAATTGCTTTGTCAATGCAAAAACATTGTCTTTGATACAAAAGCACTGTGCTGAATGAGCAACAAATTCATGACGATGCAAATCGAGTAAAAAGTTATGCCCAACTTTATTATCGCAATGCAATCTGATCCCAGGCCACAAAACCAGTTATCGCAATGCGCGATGAACGTTTGTTCAATGCGATATGAAAGACATTCCAGTGAACCTATAGGAGACTGGGGAAGAGAAACTATTACCGTGGGGAGGTTAACGCACGTATTTCTGCTGACATTGATAGGACTCAATGGTTATTATTCGTACCAATCCGTACCAAACCAGATTGTTTAAGCATTTTATATTTTGCATTTACATTTTAATAAATCAATAATGAACAAAGCGTTTGTGTAGCATGCGAATATAGTTGCAGGCTTCGTTGGCATTCTGTCCAATGTGTGGCACAAAAAATGATTCCGGATGTTCGTAGATCACTTAATAATACTTTGGCACGAAATACTGAGTCTAGTTCATGTCCCTGTTTGACCTTTAATGGTTCAAGCGCTTCTCTGCTAAGCTTGACCAGTTCATGAAGAAAAAATATCGAGCGACGCTCCCTCTGTGAAATCAAGTAAGAAAAATCTCTTTCATGAAAACTTATTCAGTATGATGTTTTAAAAGTCTGGTTTATGGAAACGAGCATGCATATGGGCGACTTTTCTGAAAGACGTTTATAGAAAATTTGTTTTAACCCCAAGTGGACAAAAAAAATCGATATCACATCAGCTTGTTTATGCAAGTTTTATTGTACTTCTATAGCAATCATCTTACATATTATCTTGCTAAACTATGTTTCGTACTATTCTATTCTATTCTGATAAAAACAGCAAAGTTCAAACATGTATGTTTTCTAGTGCAGTGTGCACGAGTACATTCATACATGTTTTTCCATGATTGTCGTGTTCCGTGTGACCCGCCAGATCTTCTCCGTACCAGATTCTGAATGTCTGACCATGATACAACCATTGATATCCTGGGACAGCAAAGGCGATAGTCGGCGAGTTCTCCGTGTATCCCGGCAGAGTGTACCAGTTACCAGGGCTGAGTGTAATCAAAGTCGGGGCCGGAAATATACGTTTATTTCTCGTGTCTGAAAATAACAGAAATATGGATTTTATTCTTTTGTATCTACAAGATTTAAGTTTCAAAGCGGGTAATCTTTGCGTCAAAATAAATGTAATCATGTGATCTAGCTATAACTAAATCAACGTTTTTCATTCGTTTGTTAATCGTCTGTATTCACTGCATAACCTGTGGTGTAAAACTGTGTCATAATGTGCTCATGGAACTCATTTTTATTTTCTGTTAAAAGAAACTCTTGTTTGAACGATTAACTTAACTTGTAAGTTACTTAGTTTCCCATTACACAGTTTGTAGGAATGAATTTCTATCTAGACGGATGATTTGAGATTTTTAGTTGATTTATCGCTACTTTTCGTCAACGAAACTTTAACCTATAGAAAGTCGATATTCATAAATTTATTTTTCACCCGTGATGTCATGAGCAATCTGCATAAATTTATTTTTCACCTGTTATGATCATGTTCATTGGGTAACTTGGATCACAACCCCAATTGGTATTGTCTTCTGTTCTACATCCAATCTTTCCCGATGTATGGTCCAACCTCATTGCAACGAAAAACACCGAAGACTCTTTGTAAGTGAACTCTGCAAATTGGTTGTTCTTGGCCCCAACGCACAAATTTGACGCAATGGTTTTCCACGTTCCTGTAAAATGGAATGTTAGCTATATCTAGTGATTTGATGTAGCGAAAAGTTGAGATTTTGATACGGCTTCCCGCTTATGTCGACTTTACCGAAAGCGGGCATTCTTCTAAAAACTTGAAAAACGTGAAAAGCGTCACAAACTCACAATATAGTTTTTAATTTAATATACCAGAATAAATTGGAATACTTAATTGCAGCTACCGGTGGACTTAATGTAAAATTCCTTGTGCAAAAAGATAACATTTATGTGCGCTTGTAGCTCAGAGATTTTTTTCTTGTAGCTACCTCACAGTCAGTACATCATTTTAGTTGCTTTTAAAATTTTTCTTGTTTTCTTTTTGCTTTTGTAATTCTTTTCAGTGCAATCAGTGTCTCATCCAAACTGCCATATGCGTGTGACGAAGTAGATAGTCAATTTTAAAAATCAAGTTTTATACGACATTAGTGATTTAATTTGATAATATCAAAATCGCCAGTACTTTTTATGCCGGTGAGTGAACAACCTTTCCTTACTCACAAACCCCAATACAAGCTACAAATAGAGCTTTTATCGATTCTTAATTTTCGTGAAAATCTTTACGATACCTGCATGAGCTGTGGCCAATATGAAACTGATGCAAATCAGAGTCTTGTAGAACATCTTCATGGTTTTCCTATGATGCGAATTTTTTTTTCTAAACTCACGATTATTGAACGTGCTTGGCGCTTATATAGGTTAATTTGGGAACAATGAAGCATTGCTTCTGTATCAAATTTCATGTGTTGTTGTTCTTTGTTTTTAAAAAAATGGTTCGTACCAATTACTGCCATGCTTTGTCAAGGTAGAAGTTTGAAACGAAAAGACCAAAAATCAAATTCCAATATGTTACAGGCTTACACTAAATTTTCGAAGCATTCTAGTCCATATACAGTGTTATGAAGCTCCATATATGTATATATTTGGTATACAGACGTAGTACTGCCAGTTTATATTTGGTATACAGACGTAGTACTGCCAGTTTATATTGTATACAGACGTAGTACTGACCATTTCTTTTCAAAAAATATGTGATGCAAGTGAAATTCTAATACAGTTTGCATACATTTAGTTGTTACATGACGTATATAAAAACATTGACAAAGATTTTTGTCCATTCAGAAATATATTGATGAACTCGTCAGTTTACAGTCGGTCATAACGTGATATAAAAATATCATATACATTTTTCACAGGATTCACGAATGGCTATAAACATTTGAAAATTTTTTCTAGTATATAGTAATATTCATGATATATAGGTATACATTCAAAACTTCCTTATCAAAAGTAATTCTATGAAAGAATGTTTTATGCAGTGCGGTGTTTGAAATTAAATGAAGATATGATCTTTGCACTTTGCTGGACAATTTAAGCAATTGTCTCATGAACCTGAAAAATTCAGGTGACTCAACGGGATTCGAACCCATGAAAGAATGTTTTATGCAGTGCGGCGTTTGAAATTCAACGGGATTCGAACCCATGAGTCACCTGAATTTTTCAGGTTCATGAGACAATTGCTTAAATTGTCCAGCAAAGTGCGAAGATCATATCTTCATTTAAAAATAATTCTAGTTGACCTAAATTTATTATAAAATAAAAGATGACAAAGTTAAACTGTAAATGGCAAAATTTTATTTTGTCTTGAGTAAAAAGTTTCGTAAAAGAGGAATGCATCGTGTTTCTTTTTAGGATAATGTTTGCGTGCTATTTATTTGCGTATTTGTTGGAATTGCGAATTGAGCGTTAAATTTTTCTTGTAACACTAATGGATGGAAGATGTAGATTACAGCTAAGAAGAATCGATATATTTTATTTTCTCGTTTATGCATATTTCTTATTGGAAACCTGTCATCTAACATATAGCCATACTGCCATAGTAAACTAAACAGACTAACATACTTTTTTATTCGGATTACAACAACAAAATTTTAAAATGAGTAAATGTACATTCTCATGTAGTGTAAACGAGTACATTCATACAAGTTTTTCCATGATTGTCACTTTCTGTATATCCTAGCAGATCTTCTCCGTACCAGATTCTGAATGTTTGACCATGATACAACCATCGGAAACCTGGTACAGCAAAGGTGATACTCGGCGAGTTAGAATTGTATCCCGGCAAAATATACCAGTTGCCATTAGTGCTGGGTGTAATCAAAGACGGTGCAGGAAATATACGTTTATTTCTTGTGTCTGAAATTCAATAACAGAAACATTGATCGCATAAATTAAATGCTTTTTGTGTAATGTTTGGCCAATTACTATTACCCTACTTTCAGACTTTTAACATTGCGATCGCGGATAGTTTAAAAGTCACTACAAACGTAATTCTTGTTCTGCCTCGTATGACTTTTAATGATTCTTGCCCAGTTTTTCTCACTAAATATGACTTGAAATGCTGGGCGAGAGCGTCAACAATAAAACTCAGTCAACTAGCTACCCAAAATATGAACTACTCAGCTTCATAAAGGTTTAATCGTCTGTTTGTATTAAATTGTTCAATATATGTAGAAATACTGTCATTAAAAAGTGTTAGAACATCGACTTCCATTTGTTTTAAGTCTGAATTACGCAAAAGTTATTTGAATGATTCTTCGACAGACGATTAAGATTTTTTATGTTAACTATTTTGCAACAAAACTATCCTTGAAATGGTTCCAGCTAATCATTTTTTATTAATTTACCTGTAATGATAATGTTCATTGGGTGTGGTGGCCGGCAGCCCCAGTTGCTTTGGGTTGAAAGAACACATCCAACCTTTCCAGTGGTATGATGTAACTTTAGAGCAATGATAAACCGCGAAAGGCCTGGGTATGAAAATTCAGCATATTGATCGTTTTTGGCCCCAATGCACTTGTTCAATGCAATTGTTCTCCATTTTCCTTTAAAAGGTAATGTAAACATGTTTGTAAAACTATGCAAATCACGCGGTTCTCTACGTTGCATGGAACACTAACACTTTACAACTTCGGGCTGATGTAGGTCAAAAACTTATTCGTGTAAAATAGGTTCTCATAAGTTCATCTTCACCTGAAGGTATGCATTTGTACCTCAACGATCTTTCTTCTATTACCTGATTAGGACGATTAAAGCGATGTGAATTGAGAAACAGTCATCAGCTTGATTAATGTGATGATTTGTATTTCAGCACAACCAAGTTTTAAAGATTTTGTAGCAAGAAAAAAATGTATAGAAATAACTTGAAACAAAACCAGTAAGCATTTTTCTCAAAATAAGATGCCAAATTTAAATTTCACAATAAAATCTGTCTTATAAACCAGTGATGAATCAAGACTGAAGACTGACAAAACAGTCAGCACTGCTTTTTCTACACCTCAGTTTACGCCGTCTTCTACACTACACAGTGCTCAAAGTCTCAATACAAGCTACAAATTCTAAAATTTCTAAAGTCGAAAAACCCTACCTGCATTGACCGTGGCCAAAAGATAACCAATGAAAAAGAGAGTTTTGAAGAACATCTTAATGACTTTTTCTTGATTGGAAAGTAGTTTCTTTTAACCGACCGTTCTTGATGTGGCGATGTTGAGTTGTGAATAATGTTACTGAGTCGCTAAGCTTTTCTGTTCTCTTCCTTTGTTTTGTCATCTTAATCATCTTCCTTTAGCACGCTGATTGAAGTGAAAATTCAAAAACAGACATGACAATGGAGAATATGTAAACTTTTAGTGTTTGTAATCCAATGAAAAAGCCTTTATATGCATGAAAGAATACGGAGTTATGGAAATAAAGTGTTCTTCTTGTGGTCGTTAAGTGTATCCTCAGAAGTAAACTACAACGAGCGAGAATGCACAGGAATATTATTCCAAATTATCTCTGGCATTTGTTAAGCTGTCAAGTGGATTTGATGCACATTTTTTATGCGTCAGTTGTCTCTGTAATAAACTTTGTATTTCATGAGATAACTACGAAGTAACTATTAAAACTTTTGATTTTATTTACAGCAGTTCAATCAATGAGAAAATTTGCCCATTTACTTTTTGCCTAATTTAATTCACAGACGTGAAGACTAGCAGATCCGGAAGTTCAACGTGTACAGTGTTAGGACTGACAAAAATGCTTTCTATTACCAAACACAGACCATTTCTTGGGAATGACTGAAGGTAAAAATTTAAATTGGCTGAGATGGCCAACATCCAAATTCGTATATGGTGCAAGCTTAGTCAAATGAAGCAACTATCGACGTTTCTTGTGATTTCTAAAAAGTTTTAAACTCGTTGGAAAATTTCGTAATGCATGGTTTTCTCCATACACAATACTGGCCACGTAGCTTCATAAAAACCATGACCAGCCGAGAATTTAAAGAAATATAGTATAAAACAAATTCTGAAAAAGCAAGATATCTTGAGATTGCAAAATATGCATTAAAACAAGACGAGAAGTGAAATGTAAATTTTCGACTTTATTTCAAAGTCATCCTCAGATAGAATGATATTTAAAACCATGCATACACATATATATTTACAACGCATGAATTAAGTGACGGAAGTAAGCAATAGAAATTTAATAGTGTGATATTTACAAAAGCAGTGTTGGAAGAGGTGTAGTATTTCAAAAGGATAAATTGAAACCACAGATCCGACTGGTAGAATGAGTGTATTGTAATTTAAGAGAAGAGTTGTAATTCTTTGCTAGCCTTAAGTCCCGTGTTTAGAAAAGGTTTGTTGTGTTTGATGAGAAGTGCTTCAAGAAAAGCAAGAATGTGGTTGTTGTTAGATTTGTTGATAGTTGTTAGATTTGGTTGAGTAAAGTATTTTATAGTTGTTGAATACAAGGTTTTCTGTAGGAGAGGGAGTTGTGGGAGGTAGAGAGAGATCATTGAGTTGTGAAAACTGGTTTTGTAGAGTAGCCAGGAATTGAGCGTTTTCGCACTCAGAGAAATGCTGGCCAACTGCACTAGAAGAGAGAGCCTGGTTGCATGTTCTCTGAGCCGTACAGACAGGTATCTTTGTGTTATGCTGATGTAGGTTTTACCACAGCCAGGGCAAGTTATTTCGTTTACAAGTTATTTCGTACTATGTAGCTTCATAAATTATCATCGAAATCGCTGTCACTCCAAACAAAAAATCTGCTTAAATTACGAAATAAAATGTGTATTTATGATATGTTTCGTCCGTTGGGAACCACTCCTCCTTGTTGGTAACATCGCAACATTAATAACATTTGGTAACATCTATGGGTAATGTTACGAATGCTGTGATCCTGGGACGGGGGGTGTGGATGACATGTCGTTTTTACAATATGGCGACGAGAGATTTTGTATTTTGTATATGAAAAATGGTTGTGAACTAAATAGGCGCAAAAATGGTCATGACTAAATCGGAGGCGCTGAAAATTGTTGAAATAGCTGAAGGTTTGGTTAATGTATTTACTATGTATAACTAATATGTTTGTCTTTAATGCGCTTTTTAGTTGCAGTTAAGTGCAGTGCTGTCTATACTATACTATACCGAACTTTGTAAATATACTGAAATTTATGATGCAAACTATGGATGCATTACTTCCAATGATTTCCATTTTAACATTTCTCATAAAATTATACAATTTAAAAACTTTATACAGGAAGAGGAGAAATTATACAAGAATTAATAGAGGAGAGGAGAAATCGAAGAAAAAAGCGGAAAAGTTTATTTAGTCTTTCTGGTTATTAGCTATGTTAATCAGACAAAATTGAAATGTTTCTCGAGTGCAAACTAAACCTAAATGGGCTTTTCGTCCGAATGCCCTCCTACGTAATTATGAAGGAATGTCTTTTGATAATGTTGGATACAGGAGAATGTACTCTATCCTATTTCATACAGAGTTTTAATGGAATATCATTATATCAACTAATAGATAAACGTATCGACTAATTCAGAATGTAAAGGTTGGCTTAAAGAATTTGCGTTAACCAAGATGCATTGCGCGTATTTGTTTATGTTGACATCGTTGCTTTTTGAGCCTGCAGCACTCTGCAAGTTCGATTCAAGTTCGACATTTCGTCGTGTAATTTATCTGAGAGTTAGCAAAAATTCAATTTTACAATAACTATTATCGTTTGTCCAAGTTGCATTGACCACAATGAGAAAATCCGCCATTTTCGCAACCCAAAATATGGCCGTCACGTGGTGATTAACGCGCAATGCATCTTGGTTGGCATACATTCTCTGGGTCCAGAACACATTTTGTTTTCAGAGAAATCGAGCTAATCGTAAGAAAAGAGAACGAGAGAAATGTAACGACAGTAAAAAGGTACAACATGTTTTGATGAGGTACAACATTTGTTGATGAGGTGCAACATTTGTTGATGAGGTACAACATTTGTTGATGAGGTACAACATTTGTTGATGAGGTACAACATTTGTTGATGATGTACAACATTTGTTGATGAAGTGCAACATTTGTTGATGAATTACAACATTTGTTGATGAAGTACAACATGTGTTGATGAGGTGCAACATTTGTTGATGAGGTACAACATTTGTTGATGAGGTACAACATTTGTTGATGAGGTACAACAATTGTTGATGAGGTACAACATGTTTTAATGAGGTACAACATTTGTTGATGAAGTGCAACATTTGTTGATGAAGTACAACATTTGTTGATGAAGTACAACATGTGTTGATGAGGTGCAACATTTGTTGATGAGGTACAACATTTGTTGATGAGGTACAACATTTGTTGATGAGGTACAACAATTGTTGATGAGGTACAACATTTTTTGATGAGGTACAACATTTGTTGATGAAGTACAACATTTGTTGATGAAGTACAATATTTGTTGATGAAGTACAACATTTGTTGATGAAGTACAAAATTTGTTGATGAGGTACAACATTTGTTGATGAGGTACAACATTTGTTGATGAGATACAACATTTGTTGATGAGGTACAACATTTTTTGATGAGGTACAACATTTGTTGATGAAGTACAACATTTGTTGATGAGGTACAACATTTGTTGATGAGGTACAACATTTGTTGATGAGGTACTCGTCAATGATAAAAATGCTGATGTGTGGAGACTGCGAAGATTTACGTATATATGAATTACCAGCTAAATTCAAATTATTCCTTTTTTGGCAAAGTTTGTTACAGAGTTTGAAGTTTTACAAGAGCTTTTAACTCCTATCTAATTCTTGTATTAATCCGTCGTTTTAACCCGAGCACACAACAGGATTTTTCGTTTTTTATCCAGGATTGAATATATTTTTCTCACGAATTCGTCAAATTGTTTTTAATTTCATTTAGTTGTTTGTCGAAATAGTTGAGTTTTTCTTTCAATTGGATCTAATTGTTTTCGGATTTGTTGCGTTTTTTTCGAATTTGTTAAGCTTTTTTTCCATTTAATTGAGTTGTTTTTCAATAAAAGATTTTCAAGTGGAATAAAACTGACCTTCTGATCTGCAGGTTAGCAGGTCTGCAGGTTTGCAGGTTTGCAGGTTTGGACCATTTTGTCCTGTTTATCAGCGAATAGATTCCCGTGATATTTTAGACGAATGAGGTGACAACATCAATTGAAAAAGTCGAGAATGTTCAAGAAAATCAAGACAGCTCGAAAGAAAATATAAATCCCGAAGGCGATGAACAAATAGCGAAAGGAAACGAAGAGGATTGTCCAATGTCTTCGAAAAACAGAAGTGAGAAGTGTTCGGATGACGACAGCACCCACGTGAGCAGTACAGTTATATATGACTTTTTCCTTAAGATGGAGATAGATATGAAAACATACAATCTTTGTTGATGTAGATTGTCCACGTTAGTACAGTCTTGATAAAGATTGTTTGTGTTAGTGTTGAGCATTGAACTAAAATACATGGAACGCTACCTTTAATAGAAAAGTCTAATAAATTCTCGAAGCCTAAGTTTACACCCAGACAGGCGTGTGTAGTCAATCAATTTTCAACATCTCTAAACACTACACACGCGTGTCTGGGTGTAAGATTTGGATTCAATAATTTGCTTCAGGTAGCGTTCCATGTATTTTAGTTTAATGGTGTAGAGTGATGTTTCGACATCCTTAATGGTAGCCATCTTACGTAAGGTATTAAACCTTAGCGGTACTCTTCCCTTCACGATGTGAAGCATATTTTCCTTTTGGCCCCAACGCACAAATTTGACGCAATGGTTTTCCACGTTCCTGTAAAACAGAATGTTAGCTATATCTAGTGATTTGATGTAGCGAAAAGTTGAGATTTTGATACGGCTTCCCGCTTATGTCGACTTTACCGAAAGCGGGCATTCTTCTAAAAACTTGAAAAACGTGAAAAGCATCACAAACTCACAATATAGTTCTTAATTAAATATACCAGAATAAATTGGAATACTTAATTGCAGCTACCGGTGGACTTAATGTAAAATTCCTTGTGTAAAAAGATAACATTTATAAGGACGAATGTGTGCGCTTGTAGCTCAGAGATTTTTTTCTTGTAGCTACGTCACAGTCAGTACATCATTTTAGTTGCTTTTAAAAAATTTTCTTGTTTTCTCTTTGCTTTTGTAATTCTTTTTGTAATTCTTTTCGGTGTGCAGTCAGTGTCTCATCCAAACTGCCATAATGATTGAAAAAAAAATTGCGATGCGATCTGGTAATTTTATTCCTTAAATTTAGCTCACGATTAAATATCTTGTAAACACAAAACG